CTGGAAACCAGCTAATGTTTTGCCTCTCCTATGATATGTATGGAGAAAATTACTTACCCTGAAGGAGATGGGAATCCTTTTAACCCACAACTATAGTAATATAGTAATATATAGTAATCCTTCATGGATTACTGCCTTGTCGTGGCGAAGGGGCTTGTGTAACTCAATGAAGCTATGAGCTATGCCGTGCAGGGCCACCCAAGACAGACAGGCAACTAATTAAAAGACGCTTGCTCCTGGGGAGGAAAGCTATGGCAAATCTAGACAGCATACTAAAAAGCAGACATCACCCTGCCGACAAAAGTACGTATAGTCAAGGCCATGGTTTTCCCAGTTGCAATGTATGGCTGTGAAAGCTGTGAAAGCTGGACCATAAGAAAGGCTGAGCGCAAAAGAATTGAGGCCTTTGAACTATGATGCTGGAGAAGACTCCTGCGAGTCCTCTGGACTGCAAGGCGATCAAACCGGTCACTCCTAGAGGAGATCAACCCTGACTGCTCTTTAGAAGGCCAGATCCTGAAGTTGAAACTCAAGTACTTTGGCCACCTAATGAGAAGAAAGGACTCATTGGAGAAGAGCCTAATGTTGGGAAAGATTGAGGGCAATAGAAGAAGGGGACGACAGAGAATGAGGTGGCTGGATGGAGTCACTGAAGCAGTAGGCGTGAGCTTAAATGGACTCCAGAAGATGGTAGAGGACAGGAAGGCCTGGAGGAACGTCGTCCATGGAGTCGTGATGGGTCGGACACGACTTCGCAACTAACAATAATAGGTAGAATGGAGATTATGGTTACTTGGGGAGTCTGTGCAGCTTTGGATGGTTTGCTTTATTGCATTTCTTCCTGGAACATGGGGCCATGCCAGGAGTTACCCATATTCTCACAAACTCCCAAATTAACATCAATATGTTCTACTTGAAGCTGCCTTTGAAGAATGATTGAAAGCTTCAGTTGGTGTAGGATGCAGATACCAGATAGGTGAGTCACTGGTGCCATCTGACGTTGTTGAGTTGCCTAGGCTTCCACATAGAAATTTAAGTGCTGGTTTTAACTTGGAACTTTTATGGCTTGGCATCTAGATACTGCAAAACTGCTTCACTTTAGGGTAGCGCCTTCATCTCTGCAGTTTGCAAGAGCACGATGGTTTTCTTGTATGCTCCATACTTGTGGACCAGTTAATCCCTGGAGATCCAGATACACCCTATTTAGCAGTATTTTAATCAGAATGCAACTTTACTACCCAATTTTAATTATTATTTAAAAGGATGATTGCTTATATGTGCGGTAATTATATTTGTTTTATATTTCAGATTTTTGCATAAAAATAGATGCACATCAACAAAAGCATAATTTTGAAATTACAGCAAGTAACTGTTCATTTACTTTCATTTCACTCAACCGCAGCTACGTTTAGTTTAAGAAGGATTTCCAGAAACTGGAATGGATCCGCAGCCAAGCCAACAAGGATGCTCAGGAATTAGAAATTAAGTTGAAGAGACACTGAAGAAGTTAGTAAATTTAGCCTTGAGAAAAAAAAGGGGGGATATGACAGCACTCTTCAAATATCTGAAATATATCTTCTTAGAAGATCAGGACTTATTCTCTTACAGTTTTAGAGTTTTTCATTGCCTTCCTGTTATTAAAATCCAATATTAGAAATTAACCTATCTCTGGATAATATCTAATGAAAACGTATCTGTATGTTTAGCAGCACAACTGCACAACAACAACCTTTCAAAATTTTCTTTCAGAAATCTGAAAACTGCATACTCTCCTCATTACAGAAAGAAAGCTACACTCTTACATCATATGGGTTATCTTCAAAGACATTATTTCAGCTTAGGCATGATAGAGAAGGCTTAGAAGAAAGTTTCAAAGGCAGGTAATCAGATTCAAGGCTAAATTGCAAAAACTCAGTATTTTTAAGAGTATAGTAAATTGCACTGTTTTAGTATCTGTTATTCAAAAGGTCAGCTTTAATGCTACGCTGTAGTTTAGCATTATAAGAACAACCTACTTAGGCTCATGTTCACATGGAGCAGCTGGCCTTCTTTGGACTAACCTGCCTAGCTGGTGATGGTAGAAGTTGCCCCATTTGCAAACCATTCACAGAAACTGAAATTCCCCTCCAGGTGATCTCCAGACACTGCTAGTGTACAGCAGCATAATATAGAGCTTGCAACAAGCAGTGTGTGCAGGTATTTGTGGGGTCCTGACCTACAAACAAAAACCCCTCCAAGCTCTGGAAAGAATGGAGTAGGTTAAAGAAAACTGCTTGTGCCATATGGAATTGAGGAGATGCCTTCCTCCCTAGACAGCCAAGCAACTGTTTAGACTAGAGCAATGGTGGCGAACCTGTGGCACGCGTGCCAGAGGCGGCACTTGGAGCCCTCTCTGTGGGCACGCGCGTTGTCGCCCCAGCCCCGCCTCCCCCCGCGGCCCCCTCCTGCACAGAGCAGCACAGCCAAGGACATGGCAGGCCAGGCAGCAGGGACAAGACTCCATCCTTGTGCCCCATTGCACGCAGATGATGTTGTGGGGTGTGGGCGGAGGGTGTGGTTGCCATGGCGCTGCAGGGCCACCTGGGTGATCTGTAGCGGGCCATGGAGGCGGGGCAAGGGGCGGGCGGGAGTGGGGCAGGCAGGGCGGGAGGAGGAGCGGTGGTGGGCAGGTTTGGGGCACTTGGTCTCTAAAAGATTCGCCATCACTGGACTAGAGTAATTGTGAAGAAGTTGAGGGGAATATCAAGACAGGGCTGACAAGCAAGACTTTCCACAATCAAAGAGGAACAAATGCAAATATTGTATACAGGGAATGTATGGAAAGAAAGAGCAGGAAGAGCTTAGGGAGGAAAAGGATGATTATAGGAACCTAACCTCGCCACTCCCTGCTATTCCCTTAAAACTCATTATCTCAAGTTTCGTTTTCATGCCAGATTACCGTAACATGTTCTTTGAATCCAAGCAGTGACTTGAAGGCTTTAATCCAGATCTAGTATTTTCTGTGTTATAACACACAGCAGAATGTCTCCAGGGAATGTTTTCAAGTGGCTCTTCTGAGAAGCAGATCTAAAGAGGAATCTCATCTGTGAGCAAAGCTTTTGCTTGAGTAGTTGGCATAGGCCTAATATATAATTTAGCTTGTTGTGCAAACACACCCTAACATAATCCACAGTATTGTTATTCAGCCTGTGCTATATATTGTCTAGATAGAGCTACCTTTAAAAAATAGCTTGGAAACTAGTAAGTTGTTAAACCTAAAGCAGATATATTGTACCTGCTGCACTGCTATGATTTCTCTGGTTCAATTTAAAATGCTGTCCCACCCCAAGTTTCCTGCCCTCTTAGACCAGCATTATAAACCTTATTTCGGTAGTTATTTGTGCAAGAAACTAGATCAGTGGTGGCGAACCTATGGCACGGGTGCCAGAGGCGGCACTCAGAGCCCTCTCTGTGGGCACGCGCACCGTCGCCCCAGTCCTAGGCCTTCAGCTGGGTTTTATAAAACCTTTTCGCTTTAGGCCTCCGCTGCCGTGTACAACAAAAAAAAAGGTTCAATCAACCAGTCAATTTCAACTTCTTGCAGGAAAAAAAAAGATCTTGCAAAGTTGGAATTGATTGATTGAACTTTTTAGTCCCACCCAGTCTGCTGTTACCACTGCAACCACGTCCACCCAATGGGCCACACCCACCCAATGGGCAACACCCATCTAATGGGCCACACCCACCCGGCACCCTATGATGCATAAGTGGGTTTTGGGTTGCAGTTTGGGCACTTGGTCTCTAAAAGGTTTGCCATCACTGAACTAGATTGAGAGACATATGAAACACATTTTTTTTTTCTGCAAGGGTACTTTCTTTTGAAACCTCGCTCCAGCTAATATATTAAGACTCCAATTATCACAGACTTTCAAGCAAGCCCCCAAATTTAAATAATTTATAGTTGATGGTGCTGTTGGTAGTGGCTGATTTCAGTTTTCTGTTTGTACCATAATTCTATTTTGATAAATACAAGATTATCATATTCTTTGAAGTATTCTTTGCTTTTTTATCATCTTAATTGGGCTGTACTGGAAAAGCAATTTAAAAATAAATAGCTGGAAACACTAAAACTCTTGCTCAAGTAGAATTCAGTTCCTAATGAATGCACAGGTATGGACATGCACAGGAATGTTGTTTTCTTGGCAATAATAAGGGAATGGTTTGCTATTGTATCCTTTAGGGATGCCTTTTTAACTTCTCAATCCAATCTAAAGACCTGGCATTTCTTGGTGGTTTCCTGTCTAAATAGTATGATAATGCTAATGCTATGATAATGCTAAAAATACAAAATATTTTTAAACAAGCACAATGAAGTAAACATTATCGACAAATAGAGTAATATAGGTAAGATTATATGGAAATAAATCCCAGAGCTCAGTAAAGTCCTCAGTTTTTTTAACCAGGCTGCTTGTTTAGAAACGGTGCTTAATGCTCCTTATAACCACAAGCCTTCCAAACTTTGATTAGGGTGATTTTGGATTTAGTCCAGGGGTAGGCAACCTCGGCTCTTTTATGACTCATGGACTTCAACTCCCAGAATTCCTGAGTCAGCTATGCTGACTCAGGAATTCTGGGAGTTGAAGTCCATGAGTCATTAAAGAGCCGAGGTTGCCTACCCCTGATTTAGTCCCAAACCAAACACGCAACCCTGGTAACAGCTTTGCCCACCAACTATTTCACCTCATTTGCAGCATGCATTCACGGCCGGTAACTCGCCCCTATTTCACAGAAGCATGCAGTCATTCAAAAAAAAATTAAATTAAAATAAAATAAAATAACGATGTAGATACACGCGGCCTACAACCGAGCAAGCCGGAGAGAGCTCTCAGCCTCTGGGGGTTTTGTTTTCGTTCCTTGCTCCAGCTCCAACCCGGGAATCGCCTGAGCCACGTGACCTGCCCAGGCCTATCGCACGGGAGCAGCAACGAAGAGGGGGGGAGTGGAGGGCTAAAAATAAACAAAGCTGTGCAAAAGGACCGGCCCGAAAGCCATTACTGTACTTCCTCCTCCGGAGCGGTCAAAGGACTCCCTTCGCCCCCTCTTCTGCCTCCTTTGGAACCTTCGGGCCCCGGACTGGGCCAAAGCAGCTTTCCCCCGCCGCCGCCTGCGTGCCTGAAAGAGAAAGGGCGGAGCTATAACGGTGGCCCAAGCGCCTCCCTCCCCCGCTCACAGTGCAACACTTCAGAAGAGCCAGAGCAGCTTTGGGTAGCGGGCGGTCCGGCGCGGGATTCTCTTCTCCCGGTTAGCGAGAAGGTGCAGTAGAAAAGACGGAAAGGAGAGGGGGGGGGGGCTGGTCGGTTGGTTGGTTGTGTGCGCAAATGTGGGCTACGGCCGGGTTCCTTGGGCTAGTGGCAACTGGTATGCGTGGCGGAAGGTGTGTGTGCAGCGCAGGGACCGGCCGAAGACAAAGCGGCTGCGCTCGTTGCCAAACGATGCCGTAGCGCGGAATCCTCGAGCTGGTGGGATCGGGCCCTCCGGGTTCTGCTAGATCCGCCGCCGCCGCCGCCGCCGCCCCGAAGCCCTAATGAAAATAATAATAATAAATAAGAAAGCGCCGTTGCAACCGGGTTTTGTTTTTTTGTGTGCACGATTTACGGTTGGTTTTTGCCCGGTTGCGCCCGCTTGGCGTTTTCCGAACGGGAGCGTCGCGTGCAATAACGCACAAATTTCTGTGGTCTTGTGTATCTGCCGCGATTATGCATTGGTGGTGTGGGATTATGCCGGAGGTATAAAAAAAAAAAAAAATGAACGTGGGCCATCTGAGGACATCTGCAAATTTCTGTAGTTTCTGACTCGGTCGGATGTTGAAAGCTACAGGGGTTCTTTTGTTTAGTTGTAGGAGACCTTTCCTGGTTTGTTACCAGCGGCACAAACAAAGAGCTTCTTTCTGATTATCTAGACTAAGTCCACTATTCAGTTGACTAAAGGTTAAATTCCAGCTTAATTAATTTTAACGCGGATTTTTTAAAAAAAACCTGTTGGGAGAGCTGGGTAGATTACATCCAAATAATAAATATATGATACTTAGAAAATTAAGGACAATGATACACTAAAATAATTAAAGAGGAAGGATATTTGCCGTTCACTTATTTTATGCTATCCTTGATCATATGCCAGACATCTCTGATTGGATCCTGAACATACGTAAGCAATTATGTTTTAGATCTCTAATTGTACACAAGCTGTGCTGATCCTATGGTGACTAAATGACTAATTGCAATTACTGAACATGACTAATTTTCGAATAGTTGTAATTTATATTATAGTATGAATGAATCTTGGGCGTCTGCGGTTACGTGATTTGTGTGTTACTCTTGTTTGACTTGTGCATCTTATTTTTAAATATTGTTTTCCTTTGTACTGGATGCTCATGTTAAACATTCTAAATTGATCCAGTAGGATGGATAAGTGGGTGTGTGCCTGCCACAGAGATGGACTTACTGAATAGCTTATGTTGCCTTTAGAAGTCAAAGAGCCTTCCTTCAGTTATCTGCTTGTAACCAGAATTATAAAAAAAATACTGTTTTCATATAAAAACAGGCAATGGAACTTTAAGTGCCAATGTATTCAACCTAGGTGTTATGTATGAGAGATGATAGGAGACAGGTCAGAAAATACAATACATGTCAACTTATGAAAGGCTCTGGGTTGACTTGCAGTCAGTTGATCAAAGCTAATGTAACAGAAGCTTTGCTTTTCATATACAATTTTGGGGAAGGGCTCTTCCCCCCCCCCATTCTGAAATAGATAACAAATCTAGCAGTGATACCTAATTGTTATTGACATGTAAGATATTTTCTACCTATAAAATATTCTGTAAATCTTCCATTAAGATGATTTAAAGTAGTCTGTTTTTAGCTTGATCTTTAGGATTTGTTAATTGCTTTTTAGTGGTCTGTGCACCCAATTATAAGAATTTGATGTTTTTTAAAACCTTGAACAGCTTTCTCTAGTATAGGAAAAATAAATAAATGGAAAATTCTTTATTCTGTGGAAAGATATAAAAATTGAGATTGTATTGATTGCAATTATATTTGGCTTGCCTGGGCCTCATTGAGTGAAGAGACATTATCTTGGACTGGATACAAAAGATATAATATAGTTAATGTATATAAATCACATAATAATGTTAGAAGTGTACAATCTTTTGGGGCTTTGTTACTAGCTGTTCAGGGCCACATATGTCCTCCGAGCCATGGGTTGGACGCTGCCTTAGATTTTTAAGAAGTTATTTGTTTTGAATTGCCTTTCAACAATTTCAAATACTTCGTACTATTAATATGTAAGATGCTGAGTTAGTCTTATGCAGTAGTTGATGACCTCTCCCAGTCTGACAGTGGTATGACTAACCCTTATGATGAACATTTTCTTTCCCAAAATTACTTTTCAGAATTAAAGCAAAAAGATGAATGTTGGGGTTGCTCACAGCGAAGTCAATCCCAACACAAGGGTCATGAACAGTCGAGGAATGTGGCTCACGTACGCCCTTGGAGTTGGTTTGCTTCATATTGTCTTGCTCAGCATTCCTTTCTTCAGCGTTCCAGTGGCTTGGACCTTAACCAATATTATTCATAATTTGGTGAGCATCCTGAACTGCAGAAGTGCCAGAGGAACATCCATGTTATAGACTGAGTTAAACTCTGGGTGGTTCACAGTTATAATAGTTATTATATTCTAATAATTATATAATTGTATGATTGGTTGCACTGTCAACTGGATGTTTAAAAATTTGGCATTTTTATCCATATATTGATTCCTTCCCAAGGACCTGGGGTAGGCAGATGTTGTTTGACGGTATTAAAGATATTGTTGTGGGAAGTAAACTGTTCCACTTAAAGCTGCCTTTTGCATTTGGCTGATGTGGATTTTGTCAGTGCTGATGGTATTCAAATGGTGCTCCAGATGTTTTGGAATTGCACCCCGGGCACCTATTATTATTGGTACTATCTTTGTTTTCTTTCGTTATAATTAGCATTGTAAAGGTATACAATTATAATAGACTGCATATCATTCAAAAGAAACAATTAAAGTAACTAAGAAGAAAACAGACTAGAACACATTATATGCAGCAGTCAGCACTCAGCTAAATAGGGATTAACACCAGAAAACCTAGGCAGAAAATAATAATCAAGGAACCGCCAAGGAGAAAACCCCACCTCTGCCAAAAACTGGCAGGGCAAGCTATTATATATAAATAGGCAGCAAACCCCACCTTCACTTGCACCGATGATAGTTATTTATTTTTATTCATTCAATTTCTATAGGAGCCCAGCTTATGTAGTTGGGTAGTGAAACATCTGCAAGCAAACAAGCAAGCTCAAAGAGCACCAAGAACTCCACAGCTTAATCCTGAGCTGTATAGGTAGCCCTTGACTTACGGCCACAATTGAGCCCCAAATTTCCATGTTCCAAGTGAAACAGTTGTTAAGTGAGGTTTGCCCCATTTTACGACCTTTCTTTCCACAGTTGTTAAGTGAATCACTGCAGTTAAGTTAGTGAGACAGTTGTAAAGTGAATCTGGCTTCCCTATTGGCTTTGCTTGTCAGAAGGTCACAAAAGATGATCACATGACTCCGGGACACTGCAGCCATCAAATAGGAACCAGTTACCAAGCATCTGAATTTTGATCACATATCGAGAGGATCTGCAATGGTTGTAAGTGTGAAAAACGGTAATAAGTCACTTTTTTCAGTGCCATTGTAACCTCAACTGGTCACTAAATTAAAGGTAATTACAGTTATCGTCTAATGACAAGAGAGCCGCTTAGGTGTAGTGGCTAAGGTGCTGGGCTAAAAACCAGGTATGAATTTCAGATCTCCTTTAGGCATGGAAGCTACTAAGATGATTTGGGCCAGGGACTCTTAGCTGAGAACCACCTCACAAAGCTGTTATATGGAAAACAGGAGGAGGGAGTATAATATACTCTGCTTTGTGTTAGACAAAATTAAAGGTGGGATATAAATTTAACAAAATTAGTGTGCTATAGCAATCATAGTCATTGTCTTAAACTAACAGAAATGGACAAATATATTGTATAAAGTTAATATCCTTTAACACTAAAATCTATTAAAGATGACCAGTTGTGCCTACATTACTGATAACCAAAGAAGTAGAACGTTAATCAAATTTCCATTCTCGATTATCGCTAAGCATGGAACATTTCCTTAAATGTTTCCTTAAAACGTGTTGTGACCAAATCACCCATTTTGGATTAGAATAGGATAGAGAACCTATTACGACGTTGTTTATCTACAGTTCCCGGTAGTCATGAGAAAGAATACTCATCTGTTGCAATCCTGTTGCATCTAGAAAGCCTTAAGCTTTCCACTCCTGAATTAGCGTATGAAACTTGGCACAAACATGCAGCATATACTTAAGCATAAATTTAATCATATTTCTCTGGCATTGGACCAATGATACACAAATAATGCTTCCTTGAATGATTGGCAATTTGTTCTGAAGGGGGGAGAGTGTATCTCATAAACTTTATGTAGGTAGCTACCCTGTAAGGCCCCATTATCTCTACATTTGGTTGTAAGATCAATTGCTATATTTCAACTTTTTTTGTCATAGATTGAGTTTGCAAACTGCTATCTCTCTATATTTTAATAAAACAGGTGAACAAATTAACATAAACTTTGTTAGTCTTATGAAATTGAAAGCAAGAAATCTCTATATATTTTAATAAAACAGATGAATAAATTAACATAGACTTTGCTAGTCTTATGAAATCGAAAGCAAGAATCATGGGCTTCAGGGGACTTTTGTAAGAGTTATTGCCTTCAGCCTACAAAGAGTATTAAGATGAATTTCTCTGTTAGTCATGCTGTTCATTCCTGTATCAACTATCTTCTGGCTTTACTGAAACAAGTTGCTAGGGTAGAGTAGAAATAACTGAAATCTGGGCCAGAATAAAATGTCTAATTGGATTAATCTTTTTGAGGGCATCTTTATCTTAGTATTCTTGCTCAAATATTTATTAATCTATCGGCAATCACAGAACATAATTCATATTTTAAAAGTCTAGTTTTAATGTTTCAAATCCTTCACTCAGATTCCATATATTATTTTAATAATGAAACATAGCTAACATGATTTTTGTTTTGGATGGATTTGTTTTGCCTTTGCAGGGAATGTATGTATTTTTACATGCAGTAAAAGGAACACCTTTTGAAACACCTGATCAAGGTAAAGCAAGATTACTGACACACTGGGAACAGTTGGATTATGGCGTACAGTTTACATCTTCCCGAAAATTCTTCACAATCTCACCGATAATTTTGTAAGTTTTGAAAATTCTACATTGACTGTTCTAACACTTTGATTTGGTGTGGCATTAATATTGCAGTGAGTGAATGAGTACTTAAACTCTGCAAATTATTTAAAATCAATATGTTCTACTATTCATGTATCTGTGAATTGGTATGCTTTTAAAAGGAAGAAAAATATGTTTCTGTAAAGTGTAAACAGTACTTGGAATTTTTGTAATGGAAGTGACCATGCACAGCAATTTGCAGAGATGTACAGAGAAGTATATTGCAGAATTGGGATAGGTTTTTTTTAAACAGGCATTAATTCAAAACAAACAAGAAACTTCAAAAATAGCATTTGTCTGTTGAATTCAAAATGCATAGCCTAACCTTCCATTATTTTACAAATAAGATTTCTCCAATTAACTAAAACTATAGTTAATCAAAATTACATGTCTCAAACCAATGCTTTAAAAAATAATAATTTTGCAACATTCCAGATATTGTATGCCTTAGATATCTTTCAGCTAAGTTTCCTTAGTTATTATGCTATTTGCAAATAAATCGTCCCAGTCATTCCATCTCTTATAGACTCTTGCCTATAAGTTATGCCTTTGTTATATTGTTTTTAAATACCAAAGTAAGACAGTACACTCCTGCACTTTCAATGCTAAGATATTAACCTGACATCCTTGCTGACTGCAATTGACTCACTGTTCTAGAAATAAATCATACACAGATCTTTTTGTTTTACATTTTGTTCTGTATCTTAAAGTCTGTTACTATTGCACCTATATGGCTGTAAACATGAGAATGTGTACATGGCGAAATAGTTTGGTTGATGGCTATAATTATTCTCATAAAGTAATCTTTTGGGGGGATAAGCATAAGATTATTCGTAAAATATCCTTATGGAGTATGAAGTTGAAATCTGTGCTCCAAAACCGTACCAGGTTATTTATTTTGTTTTATTTTCATACTACTCAATTCTCAGTGGATCTCTAGCAATTAACTGCATAAAACATTCAGGAGTCAATTACTATCCTCTTTTCTTCAACTGCATTTCAGTGCTGCAGTTAAAACAAAAACTCGGAACTCTGCTGCTTCTTTCATACAACATATATAGAATATGCAGCCTTAACATCTCAGGAACATCGCCTTCTGCTGGGGTGGGGGAAGAGAGCCAAGGATATCCAAAGCCTAGATAAGGGATGAAAGTGAAAATCAAGGGTCATTGGCAGCTACTGAGGAGAGAGAGAATAAAGGAAAGGTACTAAGAAAATAGAACAGCTGAGGTGTAGGGATTTGTCATATTAAAAGCTGCAGAAGAAGGGGGTGTGACACACTGTGGCACCTCAGTGCTTCTACATTTGTTTTGCCCAGTACAATCCAAAACATTCCAGACTTTGATTGATTTTACCAAACTTTGGCAGAACCACTAGAGTTTAGTGGTTTGATTGAGGTTGAAAACAATACCTTTCTCATTTTTTGTACACTCCTCAAAATACTTTGCCATCAAAATGGCCAAATTGAGTCATTCCTTTTCTAATATAAGCAACAACTAAGTGCAGGTAGTGCTCAATTTAACGAGTGGAACCTGAAATTTATGTTGCTAAAGTGAGACAGTTGTTAAATGAGTTTTGCCCCATTTTACGATCTTTCTTGCCACAGTTGTTAAGTGAATCACTACAGTTAAGTTAGTAACATGATTGTTAAGTGAATCTGGCTTTTCCATTGACTTTGCTTGTCAGAAGGTCACAAAAGGTGATCACATGACTCCCGAGACATTGCAACTGTCATAAATATGAACCAGTTGCCCACCATCCGAATGTTCATCATGTGACTCTGAGGATGCTTCAATGATCGTAAGTGTGAAAAAGTCATAAGTCACTTTTTTCAGTGCCGTTGTGATATCAAACAGACAATGAATGAATGGTTGTAAGTTGAAGACTACCAGTATCATAAGAAAGATTATTCCTATTCAAAGATGAAATAGTTACATGAAAAGAAAAAAAGATGGTGTTTTTCTTCATTCCAAAATAACATATTTTGCTCTTCTTTAAATTTTAACTTTTTACTCATTCTGATATTCTGTTATCTTTTTTTTTCTTTTCTTTTCAATGCAGGTATTTCTTGGCAAGCTTCTACACCAAATACGACCCAACACATTTCATTCTAAACACAGCTTCTCTCTTGAGTGTGCTTATTCCCAAACTGCCACAGCTGCATGGAGTTAGGATCTTTGGAATCAACAAATATTGAGCTGGAGATGGGCAATGTGAGCATTCTGACCAAAAAGTGGCCTGGTTTGGTCCTTGACAGAAGGAATAGCCTATTCTATGTATTATTAGATAAGTTTCACATCTCTTTGGAGACTCTAGTACGAAGATGCTTATGCTGTTCTTTACAAGAGAATCGGAGACTATCAGAAGATATACTAATCTTGATGACAGATCTTTGGAGCACAGATTTTTGTAAATAGCTGGGCAGGCCTAGCTCTCCTAAGGTAGCAGTATTGACTGGAAATGGGCTGAAGTAACAAGTAAAGTGAAAAGGGATACAAAAAATGTTATTGACTCATAAGTTGTAATCTTTTACAAGTAAGTCAGCAACAGTAATGAAGGAGTGGACGGGAAGAAATACGGCAATTCTTTGTTTTACAGACTTCAATCAGTTATCATTTGGGGTCATTTGTTTGTTTGGCTAATTTTAGGGCAAGATTTGCCACTCAGCTTGAGGTGTTATAAAATTAATGAGTTGCTGTGATTTTCATGCCTTATTCATGTGTCTTTTAATCAGAGTGAACTTTTGCAGTGTGAGATCTTTGAACTCTGGGGAATGACATGTCAACTTTTCAGGGGTTTTATATACAATTAAACTGATTGGTATCATACTACTTATTTTCCAGAAGTAGGTGATTATTATCATTCTACTGTATCTGAAAAAATCTTTCCTCATAAACAAAAGAAAATTCTTAATGTCAGAAACTAGCAGAAGCTACAATAAACTGAATTCTCTGGTCTATTTGTTACAGATTAGAACTGCAATCTGTTAGAGAAATTCTAGGAAAGGTAGTAATTTTGAATAGAAACTTTATGTGACAAGAATTTCAAACTTCAAGCAGAGCATAACTTGTTCTGATTGTGGAACAGATTTGATTTGGAAGAAGTGCTTTGGGCCTTCATTATAATAACCCTGAATATTCCAAAGCAAGACTAAAAAAAATGCCTCTATGCTTTATGGAATCTGCTCATTAAATTTAATGTGACTTCTAAAGTGATCCATTGGGGAGCAATATAGATGGATGGGCAGCTTTTACAGATAATAGAGAAATAGTGTGCTTGCCTGAGGTCTGCTAATGCTCCTTCCTGATCATTTTCAAAGCATGCACAATCCAATCACTGTTTTTGCATCCAAAGGAACTTAGTAGAAATTCAACACAGTTGTGTTTTATATCTAGCATTGTGAGTTTTGGAGCATTTTGATGTAGGGATTTTAAGGTCATAGTTTCGGAAATGTACAATCATGCCTAATGTTGACAGCAGAAAAATAATGGATTATTGAACATGAATAAACTAACTAGTAGTAGCTCTGCTTAACTGCTTCTCTACCCACAAAGACCCTTGAAGTTAGAGCAGTGGTGATTATGTCCTCAAAGTAAGAACTGACTTCTTTCAGGTAATTACAGTTTCTCCCTGATCTTGCTTCTTGAAAATATCTTTTAAAAATATCCATGTTTTATAATAATAAACTGAATGACTTTGAACTTATCATATGTATGGGTCATTGTAAGTATAGTTCACTGTGATAAACAGCACTGTACAAATTGCTGTTAAACTGTAAATAGAATTAGTGATAATGTAGCGATGGTATTTTGGACTCCATATTAATTGTATGCAAAACTAAGTAAGAAGCCTTTTCAATAGTTACACAAGATTGATGTGGTAGGTTTTTCTGTCTAGTACTGATTTTTATGGTTTATACCAATTAAAATAATTTGTCCTGAAAAAAATTGAATTTTATTTTAAAATCAAATGATGAAATATCACTTTATTTCCATTCAGTTAGATATTAAAACAGGTATATAGCACTGGCTTTCATGAGAAATATCTAATGTATCGAATCATGCTTGCCTCTTATAGGAGTTAGTAATCTGAAATGGAGTTCCTTGCCTTCCATTTATTTCCAAGCTCTGAATAATGAAAGATTTCCTCAGTAAAACTGAATTCTGCTAACTCAAATTTAGCACTTATTGGAGTGATTGGATTATTATATAGCTGTACACAATATAACTATACTGAAGATTTACTCATTTTTTGATGATGTGCAGTACCAAAATACTAAAACCATCATTGATTCCATTGCAGAGTGGAAAATATGTAGCTCTCCAGATATTGTTGAAGATGTTCATTAGGACTACAGTACCTAATCTGTCACACAAGACCTTTTATTTCTCTTTTATCCCATTGATAATCTTATTAATAAAACATCCTAGAAATTTATTATTTTTAATTCTGTATTCCAGAGTAGGATGAGTTAAATAGTTAAAATCATGCAGATTTTTCTCAAGTTTGCAATGAAAATTCTGTTCTTTAGGCCAGGGCTTTTCAACCTTTTCACCCATTGTACCACTTTTAGGATATGGCAATATCCGAGTACCACCAGTCGCCTACCAAGGTGTCAAAAACTTGACCCCCCAAAAAAGGAAAAAAGTGATAAAGTACAGGTAGTCCTCGACTTACAACAGTTCGCTTAGTGACTGTTCGAAGTTACAATGGCACTGAAAAAAGTGCCCCCCAAGCCACAGCCAAGCAAGACACCTGCCTGCCCACCTGGCGGCGCTCTTTCTCCTGTCCGAGGTTTTCATTGTTGTGAACATTTCTGTTGAGGATTGGCAGCGGGGGTGGGGTGGGGGGTGTTTGGTATTTATTCCCCCCCCCCCGTCTGCTGGGTGGTTGCAGCAGGTTTTGATCACTTCACATGACCCTGGGACACCGACCGTCATAAATATCAACCAGTTGCCAAGCATCTGAATGTAAATCACAAGACCCTGGAGATGCTGCAACATTCCAGCTGATCGGCACTTCTTCTGGGCTCAGCAGAAGTGCCAGGATCAATGCTGCTTTCCAGCTGATTGGTGCTTCTTCAGGGCTCAGCAGAAGCACCAGGATCACCGCCAAGCTTCAGCTGGAGCCTGGCGCTGATCGTGGCACTTCTTCTGAGCCCTGACAGCCCTGAAGAAGCGCCGATCAGCTATAAAGCGGCACTGATCCTGGCGCTTCCGCTGAGCCCTGACAGCCCTGCAGTTCCAGTCATCTCTCGCTCAGGCTTGTGCAGTGCTGCCACTGGTTCAGCTCATTCCCCTACCCCGCTACCACTTTTCTAGGATGGTCGCGTACCACCTGCCAGGTGCCAATGTACCACAGGTGGTACCCGTACCACTGGTTGAAAAGCCCTGCTTTAGGCCATTCTTTTCACTATAATTGAAACATGTCTAGGCTCATGGCTCTTAATCCAGTAACAACATGATAAATCACCATATAATAGCTTTATGGTTTATAAACCTTGTGTTATACATATAAACCTTACTTCTATCAACCCAGATAGCTGCTACTTATTAAACATACAATTTTAATATAATATGAAGGTGCTGGCGATTCTAATCAGTTTGGCTAACATAATGCATCATAAACCAATCAACGTCATTTTGCCCTGGCACGTTACAGAAACTCAGCACACTTAATGGCTTAGTGCAGACATGTCAAACTCGCGACAGTAAGTGATGTCGTGCGACGTATCGGAGCTTTTTCTCCATTGCTGGCAATGGGGTGAGCGCAGTTTCCTGGTGACGCATCCGGCCTGCGGGCTGGCAGTTTGACACCCCTGGCTTAGTGTATCATATACATTCAAAAAATGGTCTTAATTGAATAAAACGTGGATCTGTAAGGCACTGGCCCACATGTTCTTCAGCTAACACAACATGCATGCACACTTTAAACCCAAGAATGTAATGCAGCAGCTCATCCACCCCCAAGGTTAAAATAAAACAGCTAGACACAAACTGAGCAACATGGTATATGCAGTACAATGCAGTGAGATGTACAGATCTGTACATTGGGGAAACAAAATCACTTCATAAACGCATGGCAGAACATAAGAGAACAAACCCACCAGGACAAGATTCAGCAGTCCATCTGCATTTAAAAGACAAAGGCCACTCTTGAAGACAGCAAAGTCCACATTTTGGACAGGACTGCTGGTTTGAAAGGGGTCAAAGAGGCCATCTATGTCAAAACTGAACAGCTCTCTCAACGGGGAGGAATACAACATCATACCACAAGGTTCCGTCTTAGGCCTAGTGCTGTTCAATATTTTCATAAATGACTTCGATGAGAGTACTCATCAAATTCGCAGATGATACTAAACTGGCAGGAATAGCCAACACCCTAAATGATAGGCTCAAGATCCAGATGGATCTTGACAGAGTTGAACACTGGGCCCTATCTAACAAAATTCAATGTAGTGAAAAGTAGTCTTACACTTAGGCAAGAAAAACCAAAAGTACACATATAGATTGGGTGAGTAGCAGTAATTGTGAGAGGGATCTTGGAGTGGACAATTAATTAAATACGAGCCAACTGTGCAGCGGCAGCCAAGAAAGCCAATGCAATCCTAAATTGCATTAACAGACTCAATCAAGATCACTTGTACTAATACCACTCTATAAAGCCTTAGTAAGACCACAACTAGAGTACTGCATCCAGTAAAAGTTGTTGAGACTCTAGAAAGTGCAGAAAAGAGCAACGAAGATGATTAGGGGACTGGAGGCTAAAACATGAAGAATGGTTACAGAAACTGGTAATGGCTAGTCTAGTGAAGAGAAGGACCAGTGGTGACATGATAGCAGCGTTCCAATATTTGAGGGACTGTCACAGAGAGGAGGGGGGGTCAACCTATTTTCCAAAGCACCTGAAGGTCAGAAAAGGAATAACGGATGGAAACTGATCTAGAAGAGATTCAACCTAGAAATAAGGAGAAATTTTCTGACAGAACAATCAACCAATGGAACAGCTTGCCTTCAGAAGTTGTGGGAGCTTCATCACTGGAGGGTTTCATAAAGAGGTTGGGCTGCCATCTGTCAGAAATGGTGTAGGGTCTCCTGCTTGGGCGGGGTGGTGGTGGAATGGATGACCTTCAAGATCCCTTCCAACTCTGTTATTCTAATCTATCTACAGTCTACAACACAGTCCTTTCAGCAGTTCCAAGAAGGTTCCACATCCATTTGCACTAGTCAGGTGACTTTGAGGACACATAAACCTCCAAGTGGCCTCAATCCATCTACAAGAATGCAAATGACCAGCTGTCTGCAAGGAATATAAATCTTTCCATTCCCCACCATCCAGTCAGAGCTGAAGAAGCTTTTTTGATGAAAAGCAAAAATCTTTAAAGACAAACAAATTCCAGTTGCCTCTTGAAAAAGCACCTTTGGGACAACCATGATCTGGATGACTGAGAATCTCCCTAGACATTTAGCATGACTTATCACACAGCAAAATATCTGCCACTACAGAGTGGAAAGAAATAGAAGTTATCGCATCCACAACAAATATACTTTAATGGCTTCTTGGCCATTAAAAAAAAAACAAAAACCATGCAAGCGTCATCTACAATTATGCATCAAAAATGACTATGCGTGGAACCTCCCCATAACTGCCTAGTTCTTTTTTTTGTTATGGCTCCATTCAAAAATTCCATCAAAGGTAATCGTAACTTTGCTATCCCCTCTCCCTTCTCAAAGCAGTCCTATGAAATGCAAGCGATCCGCACTCTGTTCACTTCAGCCTCCTCCAAACCGGAAATTGATGGTGCTTGCCATTTTTAATCACCCTCTTTAGCCTTGCCACCTCTTCTGAAGCGAAGAGGGGTTTTTTCCCCCCCTCCGGCGAGTCGTGCAATATCTTGCTTGTAATTCAATTGGCCGTCGTCCCCTCACGTGACCATGGCCTTTTCCCGAGACTCGGGGCGAAGGGCGTCTCTGGGTCCTTACGCTGCCGGGGCCAAAGGGGATATTCTTCCGCGGAGGCTGTACGATGGGCGGGTGCCCCAAACGTGAGGTAATATGCGGGGAGGGGCGGGGGGGGGACGGCATTCGGCCGACAAAGGCTTCGGAAACCGAGGACAGGCTGTGACAAGCAAAGGCTTTTTATGCTAGGGATGGGGCCACTCTTGCTAATGTAAGCTTATTGCTGAGAAAAACGCTAAAAGAGCTGCAGGTCTTGTGAACCGGAGAACAAGCCTTTCTCTAACCTGGTATCTTTTAAATGTGCTGACTCCGACTTCTGCAGAATTCCTGCAGAAAGGAAGGAGCTTAAACTGAATGTAGGCGAAATCCAGAAACCACGTGTTGGAGAATCGGCCCTGCACCCTTCGCACGTGCTTCCTATCCTGCCGCGATAAAACCCTGCCTTATTTATTTTCATATGATGCAAGATAATTCCATCTCAAGATGTGTCTCTGGGGAGCGGCGTTTCCAAGGCAGCGTTCTTTCCACGCTTCTTGACTAAACAGCTATTTGAGTGCATTTTCTCTCCAGTATCATACTAGTTTCGTGTACTGCTTCCCACATTAACGCATATCTAATTGTGAATGATCAGGACAAGAGTTATCTGAAGGGACTCCTGGTCCAAGAAAGAGTACAACTGGCACTCTATCCATGAATATAGCTGGTTGGTTTTGTCCTGATTAAGTGAGTCCGTTCCTGAAGATGAAGAGGAATTTCACCTTTCAATATAACACACCTTCACCCAAAACACACCTTCAGATCAACGAAATAATGGCTTTACCAGAAGAAGATCCAAGTTTTGGAATGGATCGGCCAGACCTGAATCCAGCTGAAAATTTGTGGGCTGTACCCAGGAGATGCCCTTGCAAGCTGACAGGTTTGGGGTCTTTACAAAGAAGAGTAGGTAAAGGTTTTCAAGGCAGAAAGTGCCATGCTGATAGGCTCCAATGTCAAAAGACTGAATGTTGTCATAAAAATCAAAAGATGCTTCAACAAAGTATGAGTTGAAAGGTGTACATCTTTATGCAACCACATTATATGTTTTATTTTTTCCCCTACAAGTTTTTCAGTTTGTTTTTCAACTGAATTGTACAGCTTTAGATTCTGAAGTCATTTATTTTGGTCTAATATTTTTTACATCTCAGAAACCTGGTATTTTAGCAGGAGATGTAGATTTTCTATATTCATTGTACACGAATATTTTCTCTGTAGGCTGCCAAATATATAACAGGAAACTGGTACTTACATTGGGTCCTCATAGTTCTGGCCATTGCAGTGTCCCAGTGGTCATGTGATTATGATCCAGGCACTCAGTTTGCAATTATAAAGTTTTGCAAACTGTAATCATGTGATTATGATTTCCAATGTTATCCTATACCTATAGCTTTTTACAAGGTCATTGAAGAAGCCAGCAGGAAATCAGAAATTGCAGTTTTATGAAGTCCTTATTTAACAATGGCAGCCGGGACTGCCAGAATTAACATCACTAAGTGATATGGTCACATGGCATCAGCTTTACGACAACATTGTTTAGTGACAGCAATTTTGGCCCCAGTTGCCATTATAAGTGAAGAATTACCTGTACTGTTTAGGTATAAGGCAATTGTTATCTATTCGATTTTTATTTATTTATATTTCATATCTCTTAATTGCCCCTCTCTTTCAGATCCCTTAATCCTGACTTTATTACTTTATAAGTAACTCAAGGAGCAAGTATACATAATACTCCTTCTGCCTTCTATTTTTCTCACAATAACCCTGTGACATGAGTTGGGCTAAGAGAGAGTGGCCCAAAATTACCCATCTGAATTTTATGCCTAAGGCGGAAATCGAACTCTCAGGTCTCCTGTTTTCCAGCCTGGTGCCTTAAACATTGGCTCTCCAGTTAAATTTACATGAGTTTGAAACACTGCAATCAGAAAAAAAATGAGTTCTTTTATAATGTTCCTTGGAGCATTAGAAACTGTGTTTAGTATATTTATACATGATGTATTATCAGGTGATTGGTTTTCTTTTTTCGCTGCAAACTTGTGATTTTTTTTTCAGGCTTGCAAGGACAAATAGATGTTGTTTTTAAGAGCCTGTTTGCTCAGTATTACAGAGGGAAAGTAGCATTATGTTTTGTTTAGGATGCAGATAAGATTAAAAAAACACACGGAATTGGTTTGTTTTCCTCCCTTTTTCAACATACCTACTTTTTTTTCAACATATCATATTTAGAGTGTACAGTGTGATTCACAGAAAGTAGTTCTTTGATGTTCACCTGAAAAAACACAAGCTATTGCATTAGTTGAATACATTATCATCATAGTTCTTTTTCCTCTTGATGTTGTAACCTTCTTTTGTTTACATACTGTATATCTCAGTTCTTAAGCTATAAATTAAATCTTGATTTTCTGGCACACATACTTAGTGTCTGGTTACCATTCTGTTCTTGTGTAGAATTCATAGCATTGATAATATCGAAACTGATTTTGATACAAATTTGGTATTGGCATTGGTTGTCCCAATTTATTTGGACTTAAAGAGGGTTTAAGTTAAAGAGGGCTATGTTAGAAAATGATGTTATTATATAGATAAATAGTGTACACTCATAGGAATGGTAATTCAATGATTTTTAAAAGAAAAAGCATGCCACCATTAAAACAATTTAATGATGAGTTTATGATCTCCTAATTATCTTGTTTAAAACTAGTGATGACAGGAATCCTGTGCAAAGATTGTTCAGAATCTGCTCAGGCTCATTAAGATCATTGCATTCCTGCCATGAAGAAACATTTGTAATATTTCTAGCATAGATAATTCCTGTAGGAAAATTCCAACACTGTGTTTACAAATGCTAATCTTGTAGTTCTTGTGTTCGCTGTAATAAAAACTGGACTTTAATGGCAGGGAAACAGTTGTACAAAAAGAACATTAATGTAACAAATCTTGATTCTAATAATTAAAATTAAGGTGCCCCTGGGATTTCTCTGTAGAAGTGTGGGTATATGGAACATAAACATAACATAAACATAAAATAAGACGGATTTGTTAAGCCAAAATGTGCTTTGAGATTAGGATATATTTTAAAAGGAATATTAAAGGGTTTTATTTATTCATTTTGGGAATTTATGAATCGGGTAGTGCTTGAAATCTAAATTACGTATGCATATGTACCTATTGTGGACATAAGGTGGGGGAGGCTGTATGACCTTTTTAAAGAAATCTTTTGCGACTATTGAGCATCAAGAGCATATATTGAGACAACTGTTGTCTCAATATATGCTCTTGATGCTCAATGGTCACAAAAGTCGGTGCTGATTTCAAATAAAGAATCAACACAGTTTCATTTCTGGTCTACTGCTGAAATTCCCCCTTGTTGCATTTGCAATGTGTCAAAATCCAATTCTGTAGGCATAATTTTTGCATGACCATCTTAAAGCATAAAGATAAGATATACAATAATTCAGTAATAGTATAATGGAAGTCACTATTGATTGTAACTGAACCCAATTTACCTGCAGTTGTCTTTGGATTTGCAGTTACAGTTGCAAAAATGAGAAATACGGGATTAAGCTACTTAACTCGCTTTTCTGGGAAAGCACATGAGAAATGCTATTTTATGTAGGTTTCTTATTTCAAATTTTGTTTATCTTAGGAGATCTTGAAATGCAAAATGTGAATTCAGGAAGCCTATCCTCAAACCATGGCTCTGACCCAGGTAAAAACACCATATATTAAGCATTTTCAGTCAGTTTTAAATGCTTAGCTTATTAAGCTGATCTCAGTGCTTAGTTTTTACATCTAGATAGAAATATTTTGCATATGGATGACAGGTTTTATGTATAGGCTATACTTCATGCAGTGCAGCCAACTCATTAAAAAAAATGCAGAATTCGTTACAAATTTAAGATTTACAAAATGGGGAAAGTTTGTATGGTAGGTGTTGTATTATTTGTTGCTGTAACAGTAAAGGCCCAAGATGCAACACTAGCATTAGCAACCGATGTATTTACTAGGAGGAAGAATTGTATTTATTCCAATAACAGATTAGTACATGTTTGAGTTCAAGGAAATGATAGGATAATGTTCCACAATTTTGAAGGAAGATATCTTGACTTCTGTTTAATGACTGACTACAGGTAGTTTTTGACTTACAACCATAATTGAGCCCGAAACTTCCATTGCTAAGGAAGGTAGTTAAGTGAGTTTTTCCCCCTTTTGCAACATTTTTTTGTCACAGCTGTTAAGCAAATCACTGCAGCTGTTAAGTGAATCACATGGTTGTTAAATGAATCCAGCTTGCCCCATTGACTTTGCTTATCAGAGGTTATCTGGGAAGGTTACAAACGGTGATCCCAGGACCCCAGGACAGTGCAATTGTTACAAATGCATGCCAGTTGCCAGACACCTAAATTTTGATCACGTGGCCATGGAGATGCTACAACATCGTAAGTGTGAAAACCAGTGAAAACTTTTTTCTGTGCCACTGTAACTTTGAACTGTCACTAAACGAATGGTTGTAAGTCTAGGACTACATTTGTCTCTAAAAGCTTGTCTCGAAAAGCCCTAATGCAGCTGTCCCCAACCTTTGAAGCTTGGCGGCCCAGCTGGCGGGGGGGAGAGGGGAACCAGACTTTGGGCCAGCGGGCACGCACACAGCTCCGTATATGTGTGAGTGGAGCCTGCCTCTCGTGCAGCCTGGTTCTGTATAGGTGACTGCCTGGTAGTGGGCCTCGGCCCGAGGGTTGGGGACCCCTGCCCTAATTATTATTTTTAGTAAGGTTTAAATAGCAATTCTGCAACCTGGATTCTGGCTTAGATTTCGAGAAAGAGAATGAAAGTTTTATCAGATCATCTTAAAATCTAAATTGAACAGCAGTAAGTTAATAGATTTAGTTTAATAGAAATGGGCTATTTAACAAATTACATTATCCATACATTAAAGCCAGTATACATTAAATAACGTACTCAAGAATATAAAAACATATTAAATATCACAATTAAAACTGCCTTCTAAAAGCTGAGAATCCCCAGATGTATTAGAATTTGCAACTCTCCAAATTTCTAGCTGGTAGGGTGGAAGAGTATTCAAACTTTTCCCTTGTGAAAGTGTGAGATCTTTAGGGATTTTTTTTCTTCTGTGTGTGCCTTTGAGTTGGTGTTGACTCTTAGTGATTGTTAGGATTAGTCCCATAGTTTTCTTGGCAAGGTTTTTCAAAAGTGGTTTGCCAGTGCCTTCTTTCTTCTAGGTCAGAGAGGGTGTGACTAGCCCAGGGATAGGCAACCTTGGCTCTTTTATGACTCGTGGACTTCAATTCCCAGAATTCCTGAGCCAGCCACGCTGAGGGGAAAGGGAGAGGTTTCCAAACTGAGCCATGCTGGCTCAGGAATTCTGGGAGTTGAAGTCCACGAGTCATAAAAGAGCCAAGGTTGCCTACCCCTGGACTAGCCCAAAGCTGTCTTTGTGCGCAAGGCAGGACTGGAACCCACAAGTCTCCTGATTTCTAGTTTGATGCCTTAATCACTACACCAAACTGGCTGTTTCATCTTTAGGGAATAGTGGCAATAATATTTTACAGAACTTTATCCCATATGCACTTTAGTTCTAAGTTTACTCAAAACATTTAGCATGCCATGTGGGTGTACCTGTTGTGGTACATCAGTCATAGCTTCCCTCTAAACCAAAAACAAAAAACCTTTCTGGTTTCATCAGCATGAAACACTCTCAGCTTAGAATGTGTAAGAAGCAGATTTTTAGTAGATACTATTCTAAATTTTGTTTCTGTACAGTTTCTTTGTAGGGGTCCTAATTTTCTGAAACCTTTAACAGCGACCAGTTTGGGAAGAACATTGAAGATTCCTATGTGTTTTTGGAATGATTATTTAAGAAAGGTCTCTGTTCATGATGGCAAATCCTTTTCTACTAAAATAGTCCTGGGAATAGAAACGAGCTGCGATGATACAGGAGCTGCTGTGGTGGATGAAACTGGTAGCATTTTAGGAGAAGCATTACATTCTCAAACTGATGTTCATTTAAAGTAAGTAATTCTTATTGTGGGTGAAATTATGTTTCAGTTGCTAAAATTTGCCTGGGCTGTGTTGCTGTGTGTGTGTGTGTGTGTGTGTTTGTATGTGTGTATGTGTGTATATTTGTGTGTGTGTGTGTGTGTATAAATATTGCCATTTCTATGTTTTCTGTGCATTCCTTCTATGTTCTAGAAATCTTTAAAGCAAATTCTTTGCTTTAAAATTAGGGCTTTGAGCTAGAAATGATGCCAGTTTGACTCACTGAAGCACTGAAGGCATCCAGAGAAAACATTTTATTACAACTTAATAAAAATCTGTAAAGTTTTATTTTATGCTGCTAAAATTGATTTTTAGAAAAGGAACATACCATTCTTGTAGAGTCCTCCTTTGGGAGCAAAGAATGAGTACAGTTTATAAAGAAGTTAAAACTTAACCAATACTGGAATATGAACTATTTTATGTCATGTTTTATATCCCCATTTAAAGATATCTGGAAAATGGCCTGTAGTTCATATTATGTTAGGTTGCTGTCACACTGTTTCTAGTTTTCTATTCAAAATCGGTGGAACAGGCCAAATAGGTCCTTCTTGTATCAAGAAATGGCTGATAAAAGTTTTTATTCACTGGAATTTCAGAACACTCTTGTTTGAAGTCTTGTCCCCCTTCCCCCCAAAGCATGTTCTGTAGCAAAACTTCCATGTTATGAGCATTGATGATAGTTGTGAGGTTTTCAAGTTCAGTGAAAGAACGGGGTTTTGACCAAAAGCATTTCCAAGGAAACTCTGTTTGAATTAAAAGTCGTGAATTGCTGAGTTACCAGCTTTCCTGTAAAACAGGAAAGAAAAAGGAGCCCATGGATCTAGAACACCACAGGAAGTTGGAAAAAGTAGATTTAAACCACAATTTGTTTCTTGCACTTACTTGCCATTTTCCCTCCAGAATCCTAAGGAGTTTATATGGTATTTTATGAGCAGCTATATACATTTCTGAATAAATCAGTGATTTTTCTCTCACCCCGTCAGAGGAATCCTGTAAGACAGACTTAATTATAATCACTGTAATGTGATGAATGATATCAAAGAGACTAAAAAGGGTCAGTAAAATATTACCATTCTCTAACGGCCCATAATCTCAAGCTTCATTGCTGTTTCGGAAACTATACAGGTAGTCCTCAACTTACGACCGCAATTGAGCTCAAAATTTATGTTGCTAAGTGAAAAATTTGTTCAGCCCCATTTTATGACTTTTCTGGCCACATTTGTTAAGTGAATCACTGCAGTTGTTAAATTAATAACACGGTTGTTAAGTGAATTGACTGCTGGTCAGAAGGTCACAGAAGGGGATCACATGACGGCAGGACATTGCAACCGTCATAAATGTGAGTCAGTTGTCAAGCATCTTGAGTGTAAATCATGTCGCCATCGGGATGCTGCAATGGTCGTAAGTGTGAAAAATGGTCAGTCACTTTTTCCAGTGCCGTTGTAACTTTGAATTGTTGTAAGTCAAGGACCATCTGTACTGGCAGGATCTGCCGGTAGTGTCAAGATGATATGGCAGAACAGTCAGACAAGACAGGTAGGGAAAAAAAGGGAACTGGCAGAACATCAATCCTCCTGTATTATTGTTAAATTATAATAATATATTAAGCACGATGTAATTGCAGTATTATTACATATACATTCCTATCGGTAATATATTAAGATTATATGGTATATAATATAATTATGTTATAAAATTATTACAATCAGGCTAATAGATTTCACATGTAGATGTTTGTTTCTCATTAGAACAGGTGGCATTATTCCTTCAGTAGCACAACAGCTTCACCAAGAAAATATCGCAAGGGTAGTGCAACATGCAGTCTCAGCCAGTGGTGTCAATATGGAGGACATCTCGGCTATTGCAACAACTGTGATGCCAGGACTTGCGTTAAGCCTTGGAATCGGATTGAAATATAGTTTAGAACTGGTGAAGAAACATCAGAAACCTTTTATCCCTATCCATCATATGGAAGCACACGCACTTACTGCCCGGCTGACGAATCTCGTAGCCTTTCCTTTTCTTGTCCTTTTACTCTCGGGGGGTCACTGTATACTGGCAGTAGCTCAAGGTGTTTCAGATTTTCTTCTCCTTGGAGAGACAAAGGACATCGCACCGGGGGACATGCTTGACAAGGTGATTTATTTTAATATAGATTATTGACGTATAAATATTTTTAAACCAAGATCCTTTGAGTAATATCCTGAGGCACCATCCAAAAACTGAGTAGGGCTAGTACACAAACGTAAAGTTTAAAGCGACAAAATTACCCTCCGTGTACTCAATAATTTCTCACTTCTGTGAGATTATATTTTGGTGGCAACTTCTTAGAGGTTTTTCACATTTGGGGATCCACTACATATGTATCTTCCAGGAGCATTGTTTTACAGCAAGTGTAGGTTGCCCTTGACTGCATGTGTTTCCCTAGCATCTCATTTCCACTCACCTATTACCATTTCACCATCCCAATTCTGATGGGAATTGATTTTGTTCCATTTTCTCATTAAACCTCTCCAGCTCTAAAACACCCAGAAAACAGGCCAAAAAGCTCCTTTACTCTGGAAATGGCAGGATAATATAAGCCAAACTGCCTGCAACACTCATATAACCCAAAGGCAAAATGCAGCCCCCAGCTTGATTCCATCGGTGGCCCGAGTGATAAAATCAACATAAAACCCACTCGCCAAAATACCAGTAAGATAATAAAAACTAGGAACAGGAGTCATTTCAGTCATATATTCTCATTTACCTGAAAAAGTATAGATTACAGGTGGTCCTTGACTTACCTGTAACTTAGTGACCACTCAGAGTTACGACAGCACTGAAAAAAGTGACTTATGACCGTTGCAGCATCCCCATGATCATGTGATCAAAATTCAGATGCTTGGAAACTGACTCATTTTAATGACGGTTGCAGCGTTCCGGGGTCATACGATCACCTTTTGTGACCTTATAAGCAAAGTCAACGGGGAAACTAGATTCACTTAACAACAGTGTTATTAACAACTGCAGTGATTCACTTAAGAACTGTCGTAAAATGGGCAAATTTGCTTAACAAATGTTTCGCTTAGCAACAGAAATGTTGGGCTCAATTATGGTTGTAAGTCGAGGACTACCTGTACTCAAATTTAAGATATCCCATGGTGCAACATACATATATATATATTTAGGGGGGGAAATCCTTTCTTTAAATAGGAATACAATCTATCCATTGTTTAAAAAAAGGCATGATTAATTTTATTGATATAAGTCAGCGCACTTCATTTATGTATGAAGCATATTCACTTGTGCTGCATCGTGAAAATACACATCACTTATATTTTGTCCAAAATACCTATTGGGTAAGTTAATAAGAAAGATTGCTTTAAAAAAATTATGTTGTAAACTTGAAATGAGATATTTCCTGAATCTGTTGTGAACAGATATTTCTTTTCTTTTCTTTTCCTTTCCTTTCTTTTATTTTTAAGGTAGCTAGAAGTCTTTCTTTACATAATCATCCAGAGTGCTCTGGCATGAATGGTGGGAGAGCAATAGAAACCTTGGCCAGGCAGGGTAACATTCTGCGTTACAAATTCACAATCCCAATGCTGCGATACCGTGATTGCACCTTCTCTTTTGCTGGATTGCAAAGCGAAATCACTAGAAAGATTTCAAAAGAAGAAAAGGCAGAAGGTATTTTTGCCCAAAGAGTCACAAACTGTGTGTGTGTGTGTGTATGTTTTGCTGCATGTCTGCTTTGCAAAATCTATCTGATGGTAATTCCTGCAGGCCTTCTGGAAGGGCAACATCTCTCCTGTCTTCCGGATCTTGCTGCCGCAGCCCTGCATGCAATGACTGTTCACATTGCTGAGCGAACACATCGGGCTATTCTCTTCTGCAAAGAGAAAGGAATCATACCCCCAGGAAAGGAAACTCTGGTGAGTTCTGTGGGAAGGTTACACCTTTCATTATCTCAGATTCCAAAATTGTTTGCTTCTTGATCATGGTAACAGTGAACTGGCCAGCAATTTAAATGTATATTTCTTGAGTTTCATAGTTACTGTGGGAACTGTTACCAACACTGTGATAATAAGGATTTACAGTGCATTCAGAAAGTATTCAGACCCCCCCTTCACTTTTGTCAGTTTTGTTATGCTGCGCCTGATTCTACAGTTGTTGAAATTCATTTTTTCTCATTAATTAACTCAGCACCCCATAATAACAAAGTGAAAATGGAATTTTAGAAATGTCTGTAACTTTATTTTTTTAAAAAACTGAAATATCACATTGAGATAAATATTCAGATCCTTCACTCATCTTTGGCAGCAACTATGGTGCTGGAGAAGACTCCTGCGAGTCCCCTGGACTGCAAGGCGATCAAACCGGTCAGTCCTAGAGGAGATCAACCCTGACTGCTCTTTGGAAGATCAGATCCTGAAGTTGAAACTAAAATACTTTGGCCATCTAATGAGAAGGAAGGACTCACTGGAGAAGGGCCTAATGCTGGGAAATATTGAGAGCAACAGAAGAAGGGGACGACAGAGAATGAGGTGGCTGGATGGAGTCACTGAAGCAGTAGGCGTGAGCTTAAATGGACTCCAGAAGATGGTAGAGGACAGGAAGGCCTGGAGGAACGTTATCCATGGGGTCGCGATGGGTCGGACACGACTTCGCAACTAACAACAACAACAACCAGCCTCGAGTCTTTTTGGGTATGACACAACAAGCTTTGCACACCTGGATTTGGGGGATTTTCTGCCATTCTTTCTTGCAAATCCTCTCACGCTCAAGTCAGGTTGGATGGTCGGCGGACAGCCATTTTCAGGTCCCTCCAGAGATGTTCAATAGGGATCAAGTCAGGGCTCTGGCTGGACCACTCTAAGACATTTCACGGAGTTGTCTCTAAGCCACTTCTGTGTTGTCTTGGCTGTGTGTTTAGGATCGTTGTCATGTTGGAACGTGAATCTTCAGCCAAGTCTGAGGTCCTGAGTGCTGTGGAACAGATTTCCATTGAGAATATCGCTGTATTTTGCTCCATTCAGCTTTTCCTCAACCCTGACCAGTCTCCCACTCCCTGCTGCTGAAAAACACCCCCACAGCATGATGCTGCCACCACCATGCTTCACTGTTGGGATGGTATTGGGGAGGTGATGAGCGGTGCCTGGTTTCCTCCAGACCTAATGTTTAGAATTGAGGCCAAGCAGTTCAACCTTGGTTTCATCAGACCAGAGAATCGTGTCCCTCACAGTCTGAGAGTCCCTCAGGTGCTTTTTTTGCAAATTTCAAACGGGCTTTCATGTGTTTTGTTCTGAGGAGCGGCTTCCATCTAGCCACTCTGCCATAAAGCACCGATCGATGGAGGGCTGCAGTGATTGTTGTCCTTCTGAACTGTGTCCCATCTCCACCCAGGATCTCTGGAGCTCAGTCAGAGTGACCATCGGGTTCTTGGTCACCTCTCTTACTAAGGCCCTTCTCCCCTAATTGCTCAATTTGACCGGGCAATTAGCTCCTGGAAGAATGCTGATTGTGCCAAACATCTTACATTTGAGAATTATGGAGGCCACTGTGCTCTTAGGAACCTTCAGTGCAGCAGAAATTTTATTGTAGCCTTCCCCAGATCTGTGTCTTGCAATAATCCTGTCTCTGAGCTCTGCAGGCAGTTTCTTTCTGCCACAGTACGCATTGTCAGCTGTGAGGCCTTCTATAGAGAGGTGTGTGCCTCTCCAAATAAATTTAATTTACCACAGGTCGACTCCATTCAAGGTGTAGGAACGTGTCAGCAACGATCCAGAGAACTGGGAGGCACCTGAGCTAAATTTCAAGTGTTGTTGCAAAGGGTCTGAATACTTACGCCAATGTGATATTTCAGTTTTTTATTTTTAGTAAATTTACAGACATTTCTAAAATTCTGTTTTCACTTTATCATTATGGGGTATTGAATGTAGATTGAGAAAAAAATGAATTTGAACAAGTGTAGCATAACAAAATTGACAAAAGTGAAGGGGGTCTGAATATTTTCTGAATGCACTGTACTTTACAGCCTATAAATTTACCTTTTTTCTGTATCATATTTAATTCTGAAAGATTATAAGGACAGCATGCTCATATTTTATGTTTCCCCATTGACATGCAACTATATACTGTTAATGCGGATTTCTCTTTCAACTTTGTTTTCAGGTAGTTTCAGGAGGTGTCGCAAGTAACCAATATGTCCGTAGATCTCTGCAACTTCTAGCAGATGCTACTAATTTCACATTGGTTTGTCCACCTCCAAGGCTTTGCACTGACAATGGTGTTATGATTGCATGGTAAGGAAAGATTTTTTTCAGTGTTGAAGGAGATGCATAATTGCAGAATGTTATGATAATTTTCCAAAATATACCGGTATGCATAAGTAGTATAATGGGAAACATCATATACATTTTGTGTGAATATACCGTGTATGTCTTTGGAGCATAGGTAGTCTTCGAGATACGACCATAATGGAACCTGCCCATTATGGCCACATGTTGTGACAGTCTTTAGGTGAAATGTCTTACTTAACAACTCCCCCCCCCCAATCACTGGTCTCTTCAATGAATCATCAAACTAACAGGTGGGTTGCTAAGCAGAATGTGGGGTGCCTCATGGGGGGGGGGAGGCAGTTGGAGGCCTAGCACAGGCACAGGCCTGCCTACCCTGGCCCTTCCAAGGCTTCCCCCACCCCCAAGATGCCCCATGTTCCACTTCTCACGTCTTGGGTCTTGACTGGCTTTTTCCCACTCCCCCTCTCCCAATCGTAGGCCTGATTCCCACTCCACCAGGCCAAACACCTTCCTCCTCACTTCCCTTTCAAAGAGCTCCAAGGCTTTCCAGATTTTGGAATGGCTTGCTTCTTTGTGCAGTCACATGGAGCGATTCTGAAAGCTTTTGGGTCACTGTCCCATGCCAAAATTTGGATCGCCACTGCGCAGGCTGGAAACATGTGGCCTGCCCTCCTTCTACAACATGAGAGAGCTGGAGAACGTCAGAAGGTAAGTGTGATGCATGATAGGTATGTGGGGAGAGATCAACGTGCTGCAGGGTTCTGGTGAGGTGGGATTGGGGAAAGGTGGGGGGTGCTGCAGCATAGTTGTGGTGGGTATTAAGGGCAAATGACTGCAGCACATGGGCATGCTGCAGTTGTCATAATCTTAAAATGGGGCCATATGCTATTGTAACTTTAAAAGGTATTAAATGGCTTCTCGTACCTCAAGGACTACCTATACATAAGCATAAATATTAGAGATGCATTTCCTGTATGAAATTGGCAAACACCTAGATAATTCATTATGTACAAAGCCCCCCCCCACATCATGATTTTTACAGAAACATGCTGCCTTTGCTTTTTTTTTTAATTAAAAAATGTGAAGGAAATCAGGTTTATTTTGCAAGAAAGATGCCTCAAGTTCCTTCTTATAGTGAAAATAATTAGATTAACAGGAATAATATCTAATGGAAAATACGACAGTATGGTTGAAGACTCTGCCCATCATTGTTTTGTGATCAATGTGATCAATGTTTTATACTCATTGTAAGGTAACAGAGAAATGAAGTTGTTTTACTTAATTGCGTAAATATTTCCTTTATAGGAATGGAATTGAAAAACTTTCTGCAGGACTAGATATCTTTTATCATTTAGAAAATTTCAGGTATGAACCAAAGTAAGTAATTAACTATTTCACTGAACTTTTCTTTGTCTGCTTTATTGTCAATATGCTGGTCAAAATCATAGGAGAAAAAAATTGGGATAAGAAAAGGGGGGTGTATATTGAATTCTTTAAAAAAAATTACATCCCCAAACCATTCCCACTTGGAATCCCCAAGCCATGTTGGAACTCAATTTCTAGAACGTCTTTAGCTGTTGCACATCTACAAAGCATGAGACTGGAGAAGGTTAAAATAATTTGCTTTCCTAACAGAGAAGGCCTATTCAGGGTTATACGTAAATTGCTATCCATTTCTTTAGTCTAGATCAGGGGTAGGCAACCTTGGCTCTTTTATGACTCGTGGACTTCAACTCCCAGAATTCCTGAGCCAGCCATGCTGAGGGGAAAGGGAGAGGTTTCCAAGCTGAGCCATGCTGGCTCAGGAATTCTGGGAGTTGAAGTCCACGAGTCATAAAAGAGCCAAAGTTGCCTACCCCTGGTCTAGGTTCTGGTTTGACAGTTTGGTTGGTTTTTCCTTTAGATAGAATGTTCCATATTTGATCCGGAGCATTTGAATGTTACCTGAAAAACCTAGCAAAATGTAATGAATTAGGAAAACGTGCCAAGTTTATTTTTGCACAATTATTGTATATGACTAATAATTCTTTGGCACAGAATTTATTTTCTTCTTCCCTTTTTAAAGACTTACCCTGTGGTAAGATGGGTAGCCAGTAGATTTAATAAATCAATAAATAAATCACATTATTTTCCCTACTTAATCTTAAAAATTATAGAAGTATTATTTCTTTTACGAAACTAGTAAAAATAATAGAATTATTATTTGAAAAAGAAATGCCTTTGTCAAAAGTTGTAAGGGTGTTCAGTGCTAAAATAAAAACGCCAGCCCCGGTTGGCGTGTTGAATGACAAGAAGGTATTTGCATAAATCGTAAACTGAGTTTTTAAAAGTTCTTTGGTTGAAGCTTAAATCACAGTTGAAGAAATCCCTAAGTTCCTCAAGAATATTATAGAAACAAAAAATGTGTAGTTTTAAGTATTATTGAATTAATGATATTTTTTCATTCTTGTCCCCATAGTCATTTTATACATTATACATAGTACCACAGTAGGTTTAAAGCCTTTTTAAAAATTGTGTGTTGCATAAAATTCCCCCCTTTAAAAATTTCTGATTATAGAATACACAATGTTTGTCGTAATAGATGTTGGACATTTGTGTGTTATTTTATGTCAGTATACAAGATAGTAATGTTTTACAAGTTTGTGTTGTTAGAATTATATATATTAATTCTCCAAAAAGCAAATCTGTACTTGTTTTTCATTAGGATTTGAGCTTTCTATTGGAAATTTTATTAATACTATTTTCTCAGCATTCAACCTTTATATATGATGCATTGTTACTCAAAATACAACCTAAGATCAATTCAATGGAAACCAGTCCAACAGTTTTCTTTCCAACTATGCATTTAAAACTATAATCAGGATTAAATATTGGACCAAATATTTCCAAACATAAAAAGGTATAGCTATGAAAAAGTAAGATCAAGTCAGCAATGTTTTTACCTAAAATAAAAATTGAATCTGCATCCTTCTTCTTTGGAACAAGTAGGTTGAATACAGAAATAGAGATAGGTGTACGTATTGTTTTGAATGTGGCTTATATAGATTCAACTATATAAATTACTGATTTTATAATAATTTTCATTATACGTGGAAGGATCTCAGAGAAGCGAAATATGCATATATTTGTAAGATATAATTAATTCTACATTCTTGAATTTGTGTTATGTGTTTAATTGTAGTGTTTTGTGTTATCTTTTAGAGCTCCACTTGGAACTGATATCTCAGAACAAGTAAAAGAAGCTTTCATCAAAGTGCCAGGGCTAAATCTAGCAGTATGATGTTTGGTATTTTTCAATTGTCTGGAAAAAAAGTGAAATTGTTATTTTCAAAAATGTTTTTAATGGGGACTCCATTTTATTGCCCCCTGGTCATCTGGACCAATTATGTGACATTGCCAAATAATTTAATTATAAGCTGAGGAAAAATTAAGATATGAAAATGAAAAAAAACAACCCAGGAGATAAATTTTTAGTCACTATAAAGAGGAAGGGATTTCTAAACATTTTATTGTTTGTAAATTTGGACATATGTTCCATTATCGATTAAATTATGGCATTTTTCAGTGGTTTAATAATAATTATTTGCAGAAGTAAAAGGATTAGATATTGTGCATGTTTGGTCCGAATTTAAAATAATACCCTCAAAAATAAGGGGGGAGGAGGAGTAAGTGCAGTACCCAGCTTCCCCACTTAAGTAATCTTGGTTTGCAAATTTCAGCTGAAATAAATCTTCAATGTTCCACTCTTTCACCCAGTATAAGTGAGCACATGTCAGTTTTTACATCTGTTTATATATGTATGCAAGTGGATATAACTGCCAGAAGCTACGTTCCAAAAAGCATAGAAGCAGGCCAAAAAAAAAATCACTTTGGTTCAATTAATAACTACTAAATACAATTGCTTGTAAAATAAGGTTCTCCCTTTACCAAATGGATTGATTTCCATTAATATAAACCAACCATACTTTCTCTTGGATGCAAACCACTCCAACACAACGGAATTATACAAATATTTCCTTCCCTTCTTCCAGCAAAAACAGCTGAAAGTTAAGGGGAGAAAAAGGAAGGAAATAGAATAAAAAGAAGGAATAGCTACAATGGTGAGAAGAGGAAAAATAGATGGAGATTTGAATACAGGTAAATCCTTGACTTACAACCATTTGTTTAGTGACCAAAGTTACAACAGCACTGAAAAAGTGACCTACGATCATTTTTCACACTTGTGATCTTGACACAGCATCTCTGTGGTCACATGCTCAAAATTCAGATGCTTGGCAACTGACAGGTATTTATGACAGTTGCAGTGCCTTGGACTCGTGCTCATCTTTTGCAATCTTTTGAGAAGCAAAGTCAATGGGGAAGCCAGATTCCCTTAACAACTGTGTTAGTAACTTAACAATTGTTGCGATTCACTTAATAGCCGTGGCAAGGAAGGTCGTAAAATGGGGCAAAACTCAATTGTCTTGCTTAGCAATAGAAATGTTGGGCTCAATTGTCATAAGTTGAGGACTACGTGTAGCAGAAATAACTGGCGTGTAAAGGAAACAAATAATTATGCGAGTTTAAAAAAACATGGAATCCATAGGTAAACTGTCAACGCTGCTAATATTGAATATTCTTGCTTTGACAAAATATGCAGAACTGTCTGGTATTTTTAGGGTTAATTCAGATGACAGAGAAAAGGGAGGGGAATAACAACAAAAGCCCGGGAAAAGGAACGGAAGTGAATCTCTGCCCTCTGGGCTAATTGGAAGATGTGACCTGTGACTGCAAGATAAGGGAGGGGTTTAGCAAGAAAAGTTAGATGCCAGCAAGAGGAATTCAGATTCTGGCATAAACCTCCATGATTGCCGTCAGTTTATAACACTGTTAATAAAGGCTTTAGGATAAACATGCCTGAAAGTTCTTTGAAGTGTTTAATTAGTCGGAACCATGACATAAACAGCAGATAATCTTTGAAGTTATCCAAGATTTGCAAGTGGTATCTTTACAGCCATTTGCCTCATGCAGAGCGCTTGTTTTCAAGAGCTTATCAGTGAATGAATGGTATTAACATTTCATGTCCCTTTTTTGCTGCAGTGCTATATTATTTGAAATAAAGATACCTTTTAACTTGCCCTGATTCTTCATATTAATTGCTTTTCACACATAAAGTCATATCTGATTGCCACGGTTTTTATTCCTTCTGTATCGATTTCTTGCGGTTGTTTTCCCAATTTGGAATAAATCCATTACAAATGCAATCATATTTTTATTTGCGTGAAACTGTATGGTAACAACATCTTTTCCGCTACCACAATATAGACAAGACATTTAAAATTTCTCTTCGGACAAACTATGTTTGAGTGCCTCGACATTAACAATTCTTGGTCTTGAAACCTGAATGAGGTCAGATGTTGTTGTGTGTGGAAATTGATAGTGTCCAGATGCTGGAATGCGGGGTTTCTCCGGAGTTTTTAATCTTCCCATTATATACGAAGTTGGGGGAATTAAAAAGAGAGAATCCTTCGGACGAAACTTTCCTTTGTATACTTTAACACCAGTACCTCGAAATTTTTCTAGAAAATAAAAACACTGCTTTTACTACTATTGGTATTATCTGCAGAGTATTTCAGACTGTTCAGCCACGTAATGTTGCAACATGAGTAGGACTACTTGTGGGCTGGATCCTTATTCCACCTGGTTCATTTGAACAGCTAGAGGTGGAGTGAGTAGCAGCATTGGAGAATGGTTCCAGCCACCTTGAAAATGGCGGCGGTGTGTCCTGGTTGAGGCCACCTCTTAATCCAGCCATGCCACAAAATTACTGTCTGGTGTCCAACCTTCCCTTTGGGAGTGGAAGTCTGGAGAAGGTTGTTGGGGAAGCAGATTGTCAGACCCAGATATGGAACAGAAGCAGCAGTGGTCATTCTTATGGAGGGAACCTGGATATAGATGTGCCCAGCTCTTGATCTTTTTAGATCAGTGTTTTTCAAAGTTAAAAGATGTGTGGGCCGCAACACGCAGAATTCCCCAGCTAGCATGCCACTGGCTTCCACGTATTCATTTTAAAGCCCATTTCTTTAGATCGACCATCTCACCAAGTTGATGAGCTTTCAAGAACAACAGTTTGAATGATAAGTAATTTCTGGTGGAATGCAACATTAGAAGTCTAGCCACATCTGTGGGTCACAAGCTTATTAGATAATGCGTTTTTTTTTAATATATGCCCAGCCCACTCCCCACAAATCTATCTGGATTAGGAGGCATATTTAACCTTTTATATATTTTATGTGGTTATCAAATGCTTTCTTGATTTGTGTACTGCATTATATCTATTAGCTAGGCATAAATTACCTCGTATGTGTACAGGGACAGCAGGTGGCCCTCCGTTTATCTCCAGGCTGAAAAAAAAAAAAAACAGCTATTAAGTTAACGATGCAGATAACTGCCTAGGCCCTCTGTAAAGTACTTTCATTAAAGTCCAGAAACTATTCTTAAATAATGTAGTTTGAGAATTCTGTTAACCATTCTTCCCCCCCCCCCCCGTTTAACAATTAAACCTAATATAACCCATTCTATGTTTCTAAACTGATAGATTTACTTTCATTGAACTTCTCCGTTATCTATAATTTGATTCAGCTGACAGTGATGCCTCAATAAATATGCAGGCTTCGGGTCTCGTTTTGTCTGCTTTATTAGTTGGCTACTCTTCTTAAATTTGACAATGATTACATGACAGCAAATTTATGAATCCATGGTTGATGAATGTTAAACATTTACAGTATTTATGGAAATATTTAACATCAGTCCTGATGTAAAATCTCAGGCTGTCTAGTAGTCTGTGCTTAGTAAGATATGTATATTAAACTGTGAACTAAACTGAACTACTGTTCTTCAATAACATTTAATTAATATTAATTAAAAACATCACATTTTCCTAATAAGTTCAAGACAATTTTTAAAATGCCATAAAACCTGTTTGCACAAATGCTATAAAACTCAAAAGGACTACACAGTAAATAGAAAAAGAAAATTTGTTGTGGTTCAATCCAGTAAATTCAGCAAGTAAACATGAAAGGCTTCATTCTTGAAACGTATTTTCTAAAATATTTAAAGGTAGTCTTGCAAAAAATCCAAGTGGTTTTGTTCTGGAATAAAGTCCTATTTCCAGCCAGAAATAGACTTTCACCAAGTTCATGCCAGGGCGTTCATTGTATATAAATAAAAATCTTTCATCTTCTCAGTCTTGGATATTTGGAATATCCTCCATATTTGGAATATTTCCGAAACATCTATGTGATTTATCCTTTCAAACAGAAATATATTTTATTCTAAAGCTGATGTGCACAGTATTCTGAAACTTCACTAACATTTTAAATACTGTTCATACCTGAGAGATGGGAGCCCAACTTTTTTTTGTCTCTTAAATTCCTTTACGAAATCCGAATTTATTTTTGCATCTTTGCTGAGATTTATTATTAGCCTCTTGAACAACTTGGGCTTATTCCTACATTGCACCAACAGATGGCGATATGCAGTCCGATTAAATGTTAGATAGCCAAGAGCACATGCCACAGCTGAACGAACCTAGAAAAGACATCAACATTGTAGGAATACAGTTTATTAATTTTATTTAGGGTCATTGAATCAGACTATTTTACAGTAAGCAACAAAACAAGAGAACTATGAAAACTACTATAAAAGTTCTGGATCGTCCTGAAGAAATTCTGTATATTGTATGTCACTTCTGTCCATTATTTGGATATATCTTTCTCTGTTGCCCAATTTTGTATGTATGAGTTTGTGAGCACTGTATTACATTTTTGATGAGCCAGGGTGAGGTTGATATCTGAAAATCACAGTCTAAATATACTAGAGCCACTAACAGGTCCAAGAAAGCAAAGATGATCTAAGAACTCAAAGTGAAATGAACATATAATGGTACAAGACGAAACAGTATTACGTGATGTGGTGCTCTATTCACATCAAGTGGCAGGGAGAGAGTGGTCTCTGCTAAACAGTAAGAAAATCAGAATTTTAAACTCCTACCTCCTCTTCCTTTGCATATAAATGATAACAAAGACGTTGGACAGTTCCCAAGCTTGTGATTGCTTCTGGAATGCCTGCCCTTGTGTGGGCCAAGCTAGCTATTAATTTTCCTAGGGGTGGGGAAACGGAATGAAAGTATAAGTATTTCTAAATTGTGCAAATAAATTGTATCCAACACAGTTCAGTACAATCAGAACTACCAAAGTATCGGACCAGAGTTTCTCAAACTGAACCAGAACGCCCTATTGTGGGGTCACAGGCCACTTAAAATGGGTTTGGTTTTCATTTTTTGAAAGAATAGAAGACTGAAAATGGAAGACTGAAAATATTATTTGGGCTTTGCTTTTGGCTTTGCCTGCATTAGCCTAGTGGGCAATTGTGGAACCTGTAAGGTACAGATTAACGTTAAATTATTAAAAATAGCATTTTTCTTTCCTGCTCTACTTTAATCTCAATACTCATGGGAATTATACACATCCATTTATCATTTTACGGAGTTCCAGCATTGAAAAATCTGAAAAAAAATCTGTAGTCAGTCAATTGTAATTTCTTAAATATTTTAATGAAACAAGACTTTAATATATTTCAGTTTTCCTTGTTTTTGTTTCTCTTCGTTTGGTATGCGGGCTAGGTGAAAAGTTAAGTATTCAGTTAACCACTTCTTCAGCTGAAGAAGTGCTAGGGTTGCCAGGTCTGCTTCCAAAAAATAGCGGACAAGCGGGGGTGGTGGTTAAGTAGTAAAAAAAGTAGACTGTACAGCTTTAGATTACGTACCGTTTCATCATAAAGCTTTTGAATTAAAAAAATGTCCACTATTTTGTGAAAAAAAATATTGAACATAATGTGAAAAAAGCGGACTGTCCACTCAAATAGTGGACACCTGGCAACCCTAAGAAGTGCACAGATGTGATCAGTTTCCATCCGAGAAGCAACGGATGGAAACTGATCAAGGAGAGAAGCAACCTAGAACTAAGGAGAAACTTCCTGACAGTTAGAACAACTGTGGAACAACCTACCTCCAGAAGCTGTGAATGCTCCAACACAGAAGTTTTTAAGAAGAGACTGGACAGCCATTTGTCTGAAATGGTGTAGGGTTCCTGCCTGAGCAGGGGGTTGGACTCGATGACCTCCAAGGTCCCTTCCAACTTTTTATTATTATTATTATTATTATTATTATTATTATTATTATTATTATTATTATTATTATTATTATTATTATTATTATTATTATTATCTTGACTAAAATATTTGCTTATTTCGGAGATATTTTCTAGAAAATTATATACCAGCCATATAATTACTTCAGTGATATAACTTAGACAACAGCAAAGCAAATGTGATATTTATGTGTAGGCTTTGTTTCAAAATAATAGAAGCAAGCAACAATCCAGACCCTTGTTGTTACCTCACAATTTTTATTTATTTATTAGATTTTTATATTTCCTTTATTATTTTTATAAATAACTCAAGGTAATGAACATACCTAATAATCTTACTTTCCCCATAACAACCACTCTCTGAGGTGGGCAGGACTGAGAGAGAGTGACTGGCCCAAAATCATTCAATTGGCATTCCTTCCTAAGGCGGGACTAAAACTTAACAATGTCCTGGTTTCTAGGCCAATACTTTAACACTGGGTCTCTATTTTTAATATATTTTTATTGTTTTTATAATTTTGTTAGTATATTCCAATTAACTCTTTCCTATTAACTGCCTGAAGTATCATAAATTAATCTCTTCCACCACCATCCCTTTTCTCCTAGGAATTCTCCCTTCCCTGAAGTGCTGTTTGACCCCAAAGATGGCAAATGGTATCCTTTGGCTGAAAGGTGAGAAAAAAAGGGAGAGAGTTAAATACTATATTAGTTATTATTTAAAAAGAAAAAAAACTGACCATCAAAGTAGCATGTTTTACACAGCTGGCTCAGGAATTCTGGGAATTGAAGTCCACGAGTCATAAAAGAGCCAAGGTTGACTACCCCTGTTTTACATCCTATCTAATATGGTCTAGTTTAGTGTTTCTTAAACTTTTTCTTCTCGGGATTCTTTCCCAGATTTAAAAATTATGGAGATCCCAAAAGAGGTTTTGTTTGTATGGGTTATATTTACTGATACCATATTAAAAATTAAAATTGCTGCTACTGCTTCTCGTGATTGTTTGGACGGGATTTAATATGCTATTTTTCAACATAGGTTAGCAAATAATTTGATCTGAGTGTTGGAAACCTCCAGAGTTCCGAAAACAATTCTTTAAGAAACACTGGTTTAGATGGTGATCTAATTTCTTATTCATTTCATATATCTTTCAAAGTCAGCGTGGAAGGATACTTTTCTCTGTTTATATGAACACAATCATGTGAATCCTTCTGGGATTGTTCAAGAAGGATATACAGTAGGAACCACTTTAGCAATAGCACTTAGACTTACAGTATATACCACTTCACAGTGTTTTACAGCCCTCTCTAAGCGGTTTACAGAGTCAGCATATTGCCCCCAATAATCTGGGTCCTCATTTTACTGACCTCAGGAGGATGAAAAGCTGAGTCGATTTTGAGCCACTCAGGATCGAACTGCTGGCAGTCGGCAGAGTTAGCCTGCAATTCTGCATTCTAACTATGGCTATGGCTTTAGTGAAGATTATCCCTGTTTCCTTCATTAAATCTTCACTTTTAGGCACCACATTATAATTAATAACAGTTTGTTACTACAGTGATACTGCATAGTATTTTAGTATTTTATATACATTTGCTCTTTTACAGCATAGTTACCTGTTAACACTAGTGTGGTTGATTTTTCTGAACATAGTAGGTCAACCAAGATAGAAATTCCTCTTGCAGATAAACTAACTTGATCCATATTAATTATAATTTTTGCTAATATTACAATCTGAAATAGAATATATTTTTGACACAACAGATAAAACAAATTTCCTATAATTTTCCTTTTTTTAATTCCTTATTTTTCACAATATAATAGTTAATCATTTTAGTGACAGTATTAAATACACATAGTACTGGGAATTTTATAATTACAAAACCATAGTAGTAGGAGAAAAAAATGCATTAGTTAAGGTTAGTTAATTTTAGTTAGCTAAAATTAGTTAGGCATTTTATATTACGTATCATTATCACTCCCTGATTTTGATTTATTGGAATATTTCCATATTCATTATACTTCAAATTTAAATATACTTTACCTTTCAGTAAATCTCACATAATTTAGACAATTTTAATTCTACATAGACTTTCAGCATAACAAGATAAAGGCCCACATTTGTAGCAAAAGGGCTCAAAGTGTCCAATAATACATAAGAACAAACCAGGAACCGGGAACAAAACAAGCAAAATGTTCTCAAAATATTAATTAGTCTCACAGAAATATCTGAAGAGGTTTGAATCAGCCATCAAACTCCTCAAAGATTTCCTGAAAAATTAAGATTTTTAACACACCAACAAAAAGTAGAAATGCGCCTTGTCAGAAAAGATTCCCTGTAGAGTGTTTTTCACTCTACAGGGAATCTTGCACAAAACATTTGTGCAAGGACAGAAAAGCCCTTGCTTTTCATCATATCTAGCTACTCCACTTTCTACAGCAGACCATTCAAAAAGAATGGTCCATCCCAGATCAGTTTAATCGCACACTCCATCAATTTAGCCTGCCTCAATCTGTGGAAAGCCTTCCATTACAAAAAGTTATTTTAGAAAGGCTTTCTACTGCAATCCACAACACTGCCAGTCATTAACCAGGTTTGTGGGAATTGATGGGAATTAAGAGTCTGAAATTTCCAGAGCAGCATCTTTTAGGAAATCTGGTCATAATCTTTCCATATTCAGGTTTTGTGGAAGTCTACTTTTTTTTGGATTCCAACAGAATTTTCCCAACAGGAAAGTTCCAAGTTCTATGTGGCAAACTCCATTCTTCCAAAATGTTTATTGATAATTGTGCAGAAATAATTCTGAACCAACTATTCATGCAATATCCAGTTTTGTACCTGAAACGCAGCCATTGCTCTATCTGTCTCTACATCCGAGCCCAGAAGTGGTTCAAATACGTGGATTGATATGGGTCCAGACTCTAAAATCAGTATCTGTTGTGTAGGATTATTGTAAGCAAAAATTGCAATAGCATATCCTGCTCGTAAACGGATATCCTTAAAACAACAAGAAAATAGTAACATGTAAATGTTCACATTTAGATACTGAGATTTTTCACACAAACCAAGCCAGCGTATCTACTTTGAATTCCAGGAAAGTTAAAAGGATTTAATTTCTTTTTTTTATACTATTCATTTAAAGTTTTGATATTCTGTTCTTCATCTGGAAAGACACTCAGGATAGTGTAAGTAATTTGGCGTTCCTGAAGAGAAAAAGAAAAGATAACAAAAAGACCTCTAATAAAAAGAAAAGGTGATGCTGTCAGAGTGAATGCTATCTGTTATTCAAATGTCATTAAACTGGCAAGAGGACATGTGGATATTTAGTTGTCACCAATTAAAGGACTGAATACAAATTTCATTATTTATTTAAATGACAAAGGTTCTTGTTTCACATGAAAGTGGGCCACATGGACATTATAACATTGATCCAGTGAGTTAATTCTGTGTCTAGTATACAAAATTTCCAGGTTTTTGTAGGATTCAATTTATTCTCCCACATTAGCTATATCATCTAAATATCACATCTCAATTGTTCTATTTTGCATAATAAATTGTCATTTCAAAACAGCAGGGCTACCTGTCTTGTGCTACAAAACTGGGGATGACTATTAGGTACACAAGAGAGAGAACATTTTACACTTTATTCCCATCTAATGGTGGTTTGGAGATTTGCATCCCAGATTTTATATTCAAGGAGCCTTTATTCATCCAATGCATTATTCAATTGCTGATTGACTGCAAGGCCCAAGCAAACTATTTCTTCCTGCAAATATCTACAGCTAGTAATTACTCCAGTGAGATAAAGCCTTCACTGGAGCTTCTAACATTCAAGTTCTGAATAGATTCACCCATATACTCCTCCAAGTTTTCAAATGTACACAAACGGCAAAATTTCAGTTAGAGATTTAGCTATAACATAAAAAAATCCAGGTATCCCTCTAGGAAAGATGCCAGAGGATGCAATACTTCCCTTGAACAAGTTATCCACTGATGTCAGCCCTAGCCATCACCTTTTTTTAATACCTAGGAGAGGGTACCTGTACCGACAAGGACAGTATGCAGCCATGTTATCTTTTATTGCCAAAGGGAGGAAAAAATGAAATCATCCTCATTCACACAAGGTGGCAAGCATACAGCAGGAGCTGTGTCAGTGCTTTCCCACCAGATATAAGTCTCACAGGCACACCACAGTATCACCAGTACCAGAGTGTAAATACAACCCAAATCTTATTATTGATACCAGTATGTCCCAGTCCACATTCAAATGTAAGAAAGCACTACTAGAGCACGGAGGGAGAAGTTGTGAGAATTCAGCCTCATTTGGGGGGGGGGGTTGCAACTAACTCATCATTGCTTTCAGACATTTGTCAGAAGTTTTGAATAAGTAGAGCTGGGTGTCATCAGCATGCTGATAGTATTGCTTGTCCAAGCTCTTGATGGCCATTTCAGCAGCGTTGTATAGATATTAAAGCAGTGGGGTAGGTTAATACCTTTTGGCATCACACAGTAGAACTGCCAGGATGCCAAGGCTCCATCATCCAGTATTGCTCTCTGAAAATTTTCCTGCAAGTGTGAGTAGCATCACAGTAGGACATTGTCTTCAAAGTGCATCTCGTGGAAATGATCCAAAAGGATAATTGATGAGAGATCCACAAACGTCAGAAGAGTCCTACTTCCTTCCCCACAGAATGTCATCTACTAATGTCAACAGGGCCAATTCTGTCCTTTGTCAAAAGTAAAAGTGGGTGTTTTGTGGTCTGAGCTAACTCCAACCATTTTTGTGCATTCTCAAAATTCCAAATGTGTCCACAGCTCTAGATGCTGAAGATTCTTAATTTATTGTTTGATTTTATAATTTGAATACCAAATATTTTACTGAAGTTATTACCTTATCTGGTGCATAAAAAAGCTTAAGGACATCCAAATAACAAAAACCTTCTTTCTCTTGTAATACAGTTTGCAGACTGCTATTCTTTAAAACAATACAAGCCAAGGAAAATGCAACTTCAACCTAAAGATGAATTAGAATTGGGAAAAATTAAAACTTGAATTATAATACTTTATGAGGAGTGAAAATAATCCTATAACTTGTTATGGCTTCAGGAAATCTAGCTTTTGGTGCCCAAGAATATTTTCTCCAAAATTACTACTACTAGATCTCAGCTGCAAATGTCTAGTTGTATTTCTAGATCACAGCAAAAAAAGTAAAATTGTTATATATATATCTTTGCTGCTATTTAACGGTTGTCCAGAGTTTTGCAGCTCAGACCTGGTACTGTAACCTTATCAGAGTGTGACATCTAGATTTTTTTCAACCTTTTATATCATATTTTTAGAAGAAAATAACGAATTAAATGATATAGGCATGAAGCATATCATAAAACCTAAAGTTAAAAGCAAAAATCTTTCTACGGGTTTAAAGTATTTTCTTCTTTTCAAATCCCCAAATCTGTGGGTTTTTCTCCTGTTCTGTTTATCCTAAATGTAATGTAAACAGTTCTAAGTATTGTAACAAAGTGTGTATGCACAGAAGAAAAATACACAGGCATAAATATTGTAGCAACATTCTTTATCTGTGCAAATAACAAATACATCTCACTGAATATTTTAATATCCTTAGGACAATCGCAGAAACTAATTGCAGGAGTATCTTTAATACTCCTTCTTTTTGTGCATGTATATATGTGTCAGTATGATTTACGATTTTAGTGCTAGGGTGAAGTTGATGGCCCACTAAGCCAGGACTGATCATAGTCTTGATCTATCCTTTCAAAGCTAGCCAATTCTATGAAACACTGTCTTCCTCTCAAGATCATTGTGTCATTAGGATATGACTATCCACTTCTGTTCCCAGGAAGTCAACTACTGATTGTAAAGGCTCTGTCCACTTGCTTTTAGTTGTTTTTATGGTAGCTATGTATATTTCATCTTTTAACTTCATTCCTAGAGACTGAAATAATATTAATATATTATTCATATTTTAATTAATGCTGATATTATGGCAAAATCAAATACATGTTCTTAAGATTGAAGTTCCATTATCTAATGTGATAGGCTATTTATCAGCAAGTAGAGTCTTCAGGATCCCACAAATCTATTTTCTTTTATATTATTCAATTAGGAGAAACTATCAAAGCCATTCAAGAACAATAGGTAGTCCTCGTTTAGCGACCACAATTGGAACCGGCAATTCGGTTGTTATGAGAAGCAGTCACTAAATGAAACTGCAACTATGCTTATATTTTTACTTCAGTTTTCCTTTGCTTTGTAGAACTGTGTCGGTTACAAATGTGAGGACTGATAGTGAAATTATTTTTTGATCACCGTTGTAACTGCAAACAGTCACCATTTGAGACAGTTGCTAAATTAAGATTGTCTAGTTTAGATCTGTATGACAAACATTTAAAACCCACCTTTATCTGAAGGGATGGATGAGTTTTAAGTAAATGAACAAGTATCGGCAAAGCCCCTTCATCCACTACATTCTCTTGACTAAGTGGATTGCTTATATGAGCTTCACCTACAAGTTTGATGTCAGGCAAAGAGATCCATACAAAAGATCCATACAAATAAAAAAAAAAGGGGGGGGGAAAGAAAAATTAGCACAAGTAAAATATGATCCCTTAACTGTTCTTTACTTTTAAGCAAGTATATGCTCCATGCTCTAGCTCAAATCAATGGAAAGTCCTCATAAATCAAGAGCTAGCAAAGCCTTTTGAGTCCAGAAACTAGGCATGCTTTTCTGTCCAAGTACAAACAATATATGAGAAAGCCAAGTTGGTGTAGTGGCTAAGGCACCAGGCTAGAAAATGGAAAACTGGGAGTTCCAGCCTCTACTTTAGGACAAAGCCATCAGGGTGACCTTGGGCCAGTCACTGTCTCTCAGCCCTAGGAAAGAGGCAAGGGCAAACCACTCCTGAAAAACCTTGCCAAGACAACTGCAGGGACTTGTCCAGGCAGTTGCTAGGAATCAAAACTGGATGGATGGATGGATGGATGGATGGATGGATGGATGGATGGATGGATGGATGGATGGATAGATAGATAGATAGATAGATAGATAGATAGATAGATAGATAGATAGATAGATAGATAGATAGATAGACAGATGATAGATAGATAGATAGATAGATAGATAGATAGATAGATAGATAGATAGATAGATAGATAGAGTGCTTTTTTTCTATAAAAAAAAAAGGTGCCGGAACTCACACATGTCATACAACCCGCCTTGCCTACCCTACAAGGTTCCATCCAAAAAAGGTGCTGGAACTCCGTTCTGGGCGTTCTATGAGAAAAAAAGCCCTGGATAGATAGATAGACAGACAGACAGACAGACAGACAGACAGACAGACAGACAGACAGACAGACAGACAGACAGACAGACAGACAGACAGACAGACAGATAGATAGATAAAATCTAACAGCTTCCCAAATTAGGAAACATATCTTGTGATAAATAGAATTAGGATTACTTTTAAAGTTTTAAAATGCTAGATGAAGAAATTTTTAGATATTAAAGATATTCCCAGATATTAAAAAATATTTTCAGGATGTTTAGAACTTACCAATATTTTACTACTGATTTTAGTATGACATTACTGTCAGTTGCACTGATTTTACCCCATAAAGCTAGTTTTTACTTTGGCTTTCTTACTAGACCCTGGTAGTATCCTGGGTTAAAAAAGGGTCAGATAGCAGGATGAGTCTGCAGCTGACATCTGTACAGTACAGTACTATCAGAGTACTGTAGTAGAGCACTCTGTACTGAGGTAGAAGGATATATGGACTGACTAATCTGATTTAAAACAATACTGTATATTCGGAAGACATTGCTGGAAATGATTGTATTAAGGTCTATCCTTGGATAAGGTCGTCTAGAAAAAAATGGGACTAAAATATAAGCTGCTAGCAATAATTTCATACCATCTCTCCTGATGACTTCTTTAGATTTTCTTTTAAAAAAAAATAGCTCAGCAAGCCAACTATACCTCCAAAAGCGTATACCAGGAAATTCAGAAAAAGAGTGAACTAAATCCTGACTGAGCTATAGTTGGCTTTGTGAGTCACAAACTATGCAGGTGTAGGGTTGCAGCTATTTTGATAACGCATCTGTTTTGTGAAGAGGGTTGCCATACAGGGGGAAATGGACTGCTATAGCTCTCAAATCTGTCCAATATTGTATAATATTAAGACTACGCTTTCCTAGGCCCTTCCATGGTTTTTTCTACAAAAGCTTTAACACCGTTATACTTTGGGAGCAACAGAAAAGGAACTACAGACCGACACACATTGTGCCTAAGGCTTTGATCACACTGAGGAGGGTGCCTTCTGCTATCCTTCCACTTCTTAACAGCCGGACCAAAGGGGCAATTCCATTCCCTTCGCATATTTGGTTCTGGTGAATTTCACTGTCCTTGCTAAGAGCTATGACAGCTTCTCCTCCTTCCAAAACAACAAAAGGTAACAAATACATTTAAGAATTTTTTGAACTCCTACATGATTTTTTTTTTTTAAAAAATGTGCCTGTGATTGCAAAACAACGGTGACTTACCAACACACTGCATTTTGTCAGACGGTGATAGAAGCATGTCTATAATTAAATTGTACCCAATCTGTTCTGCCATGAATTTCTGCTGCTTCAGGGTTTGTCCAGCTAGGGCCCAGAGGGTTACAGCCCCTTGTTCCTTCACCTTCAAGTGAAAGGCCTGGAAGTTGGACCAAAACGAGAAAGCTATATATGAAAACTTACGAGCACAAGTATACCTACTCTATAGGAAGAGTATTGATGCTTTTGGACTTTGCTGTTGAAGAAGACTCCTGATAATACCACGGAGAACCAAGAAAACTAGCCAATGGACCATCGAACAAACCAATCCAGATCTCACCAGGCTGAAATTATCCTACTTTAAAGCTTTTATGTGAAGGCCCAGCTCTCTGGAGAAGTCTCTGATTTGGGGAAAGACGAAAGGAAAGGAAAGAAGAGGACCCACAGCAGCCAGGTGGATGATTTCAGTTATTGTTGGGAGACTTGAAGGACCAGGTTAGGGACAGATAAAATCATGGGAAAATCTAGCTATGTGGTCTCTAAGAATTGACAATACTTGATGGCATGTTGTCATCATCGTCATCATCATCATCCCTTATATACAATGACTTGGGTAACACAACCCACTAAAAAAATGAAACTTGCCTTTAGGAGCTTCAGAAGGAACTTGGTCACAGATCTGGATAGAAATTTCATCTGGATAAGAGTGTTCCCTTCACAGAGGGCCTCAATTGCCATTGCTCCTTTAACCTGGACACTGATTTTCCTTCCTCTGAGAAGCTGAATTAGAGGATCAATAACATTTGCCGCCACGATAGCATTCTGCATTTCCATATTCCCACGAGAAATTTCTGCAATTACTGCTGAGGCCACTGCCACCAGGACATCTTTTAAGCAGAAAAAAATTTACAAAAATAAAAGCCAGATACATGTACAATCTGCTTCAATCTTTTAATGACTCTTATTACTTATTGTAATAATGACAATTTACAAATTGAATATTTTCTTTTGAATGATTTTTTTTTACTTCTCTGACCAATGATAGATCACCTCAAAATCATCAATGCATCCCCAAAGGGTAATCACTATTATACATATAGTTTTGAAATAATCATTTACTGTATACCCTTCATCTAATCTTCCCAGTTTAAAAAAAGAAGTTATTGCAGGTTATCCTCTTTATATTGGTATTGACATGCCAGGAGTATATGTTTTCAATGTTCATGGAAAAATTATGAAATAACCTAATGTACATAAATAATCATAAATAAACTGTAGATGTTAGATTTTTAAAATATTAGTGCAGGGGTCTTCAAACTTGGCCCTTTTATGACTTGTGGACTTCAACTCCCAGAATCCCTCAGCCAGCGTGCCTGACTGAGGAATTCTGGAAATTGAAGTCCACAAGTCATAAAAGGGCCAAATTTGAAGACCCCTGTATTAGTGCATATGCTCTTATTTTATTCTTTACTATATCTATTTCCTGACTTAATAATGACAGTAAAATGCTTGACAAAGATTTGTTGCTGTACTTAGATAATGATGTTACATTTTTTCCCCTTCAAAGTATTAAAATCAATTTTCTAGCACTTGTAAAGCAAGATATTCCTTAATGGGTTATACAAATGAATGACGGAACCAGGAATGAGAAGGTAAAAGTTTTCTAGTAAAAGTATCTGCTCTCCTTGGCACTGAGACTTCTAAGGCTGCACTTCATATTGGAGTTTAACTACATCTGTCTATTAGAGAATAGATACTGCTGGTGAAGTGGATGTCTTCTCCTGCAAGCCCTATCACCCCAGAAGTAAAATGATCTAGAACAGTGGTGGCGAACCTTTTAGAGACCGAGTGCCCAAACTGCAACCCAAAATCCACTTATGTATTGCCGGGTGCCAGGTGGGTGTGGTCCACTGGGTGGGCGTGGCTGTGGTGGTCATGGCAGACTGGGTGGGTATGGCCAAGGTAGGCATGGTCACCTTGATGTTGCTTGTGGGAAAGGATGCCTGTGGGGGCCGGGCAGGGTTGGGGGAGATCCAGGAGTCTCTGCCAGGTAGGGCAGTGGGCAGGAGGCTCGTCCTGCGGGGTGAGGCGAGGCAAGGTGAGGCAGGGTGGGGGTGCCATTGTCGCAGGGCAAGGCGAGGCAGGGGCCAGGGTGGCTGCTGCCTGACACCATCGCCCCCGCACACAGAGGCCAGTAAGTGCATGGGGGCCGACAGTGTCCATCAGCAGCCACAGCCTGCCAGCCCCTCGGCCGGCACACTCTGGGGCTCCACAGCCAGCCACCAGCAGTTCAGAGAAGCCGCCTCTGAGCTGGACGACCAGCCAACAGCTGAGGAGGTGATGCAGTGGGTCATGCCCAGGAAAAGGAGAGCATGCAAGGCCAGGAGGGATGGGACAGGGGGAAGGGAAACCAGCCGTGCTGGGATGCATCCGGCCACGTGGGTTAGCGGGCGGCTGGTTGAAGAGGGACAGTTGCCATCTCCGGGGCATGGCGCACGTGCCCATAGAGAGGGCTCTGAGTGCCGCCTCTGGCATGCGTGCCATAGGTTCGCCACCACTGATCTAGAAAGTTAAGTGATCAGCAAGCTGTGTCATTTCCTTAAAACCGATTACCTTATTTTGCTGTTTTTGTTTTTACCTGAATCTGAACGTAAGAACTGGACAAGTGGTTCAATGCCTATCATTTCTTTCACTTTCAGCTGATTCTCTTTATTATTTTTGCATAATACTCGGATACAGCTCATTACATTCACAAGCAGATTTTGTAAGTCATATTCCAATAGATCGATGAGAGCAGGAATTCCACCCTACATTAAGAAAAGTTGTAAGGGACATAGGCAAAAGTAGAATTAATTAAGAACCAAACAATACAGTGGGTTGAATCTAACAAAAATCTCCATTTTTCACAGGCTGAAAAGGTCATCTTTCCTAATTTTCTCCTTCTCTCCACAGTTCTTGAGATCTCCTGGAGTATGGCGGGGGGAAAAGTAGGGTTTATGGTATCTTGCTTAGCCTTGATGGGTCGGTGGGATGAAAGGAAGGGAAAAATCAGTGAGGATTACTTTCCTTTTCTCCACCAGCAGAACTATTCTATCAGAACTCTAGCATAATAAAAAAAACCCGTCTGAATTCAAGTCAATCTATCATGTTAAATACACTGTAGTTCACAAAACAGAATCCACCTTCAAGATTGCATACATTTAGGGCTTTTTTTTCCCTCATAAAACGCCCAGAACGGAGTTCCGGCACCTTTTTTGGATGGAACCTTGTAGGGTAGGCAAGGCGGGTTGTATGACGTGTGTGAATTCCGGCACCTTTTTTTTTTTTTTAGGAAAAAAGCACTGCATACATTTAACCTGGAGGATACTTCTCCTTTCCGCTTTCAGCTCATCAATAACATGCCCCCCCCTTTTTTAAGCGAATCAGTGTTTTTGTTATCCAAAGATGTGATTTAAAAATTTCATATTCTAAGTCAAGCAGAATCCTAATGATCAAGATTAACCTTAACTGCAATTAAAATTAGTTCAAGATATAGCTCAGCAATCATTAACACAGGGGCAAAAATTCATTTCAAAGGTTAGTGCAGAAAGAAAGGGTTACATTCATCAGTCTTGTTCCTGATTTCTCAAACCTACTCAACAACAAGAACAACAAAAGCCACAGTTGTGGCACTTAGAAGTGGCCAAATCCACTCAGGCCTGTACTTGTAATACTTGTAAACATCAAACAAGTCTGAATAATGTCACAAATAATACAAGGTGTGTCCCTTACCATGGAAAAACATGCCCATCTTCTTATTATTCTAATTAATTTATTGAAGAAGGGCTAGCCACAAAAGTGAACATTTTTTTCCTGATTAGATTTACCAGTTCAGCGATGATGACTTGATTATTATCCAGCTGGGCAATATCATATAAAAACACTGCACAACGAGACAGCAATTCAGGTTCTTCCACAGTCAAGAGCTTAATTAACACGGGAATGCCTCCAGCTTCTACAAAGGCTCTGACAATTGAGTCATGGGTGGAGATGTTACTCAGCACTCCCAGAGTGATGCACTCCAATTTGACGTCTTCGCTCTTCAACAAGCTGATTAATGAGGGTATGGTACCTGCCACCAAGAACAAAAGTAACCCACCAGTTAGAGCAAGGCAACATGCTATGAATCTCTCCAAGGTTCCGACTTCTTTAGATGATTGTGTTTCTTTGGTTAAAAACTTCTGAGCAACTGACAAAAGCAGGGAGCAAATGCAGTGGAATCTGAAGGGGGAACCAATGGCAGACTATGGAATGAGTATATATACTGACAGCAGACTGCAAAACTGGGTGCCTGAATGTTACAGCACATTTTTTAGGAATCCTACTCTAGTGGGGGTGGGATGCTATTTGGTTTTGTCTGAGGCCCTAAAATGACTTAGACGGCCATTATATAAACTTATGCTGACAAGCAAACCTCACAGAATATTCAGATCCTTAGATTTTGCTTGCTATTGCCTTCCTTGCCACTAAACCAATAAGATAAAAAAATCTTTTATGCCTTTGCCATGGGAAAGCAGACAATAAAGTAATAAGCAATATTTTCTCTGTACTTCACTTTTCTTTTTATTTAACCCTGCCCCTCCAATTGATATTTATATACTGATATCAGTTTCTTGAAATGCATATTTTTGTTCTGTAAATTTGCAAATATATAATTTTTCAGATAATTGTTTCAAGTAGGTGCTTTGATAAGTTATTTCCAGAAATATTTTTAATATTTGTATAAATGTTTCCCTAGTATAAATTTGATTTATTGGGAAAGTTATTGAATGTAATATCAGACGAGCTGTACTCTCTATATTCTTCTTCAATCATAGCTCATCTAAGTGCCCTCTATCTCAGATAAAAAGCCCAATTGAAATGGATCCAGATAATCAATGTTACACAGGTGTGTCTGCAGTTGTGAAATTATTACCTTTTCCTTTATCTTTTCCAGAAAAGAAATGCTTGAGGCTGGACTATTAACTGCAGTGAGTTCCCAGGTAAAGGAAGAGTATCTTTTCATAAACCTTTGAGAAATGCTTCTTTTAGGCAATTTGGTTGGATCACTTTAAGTGACATTCCCCTCCCCCTCCAGCCCATTCCTGCCAAGGCTAGGAATGAACTTGTCTAGGAAGATGATAAAAAGGTCACATATAGCAACTCTACCTCACCGCTTTTATTCAAAGAAAACACCAAATCTAATAGGCCCTGTTTCATGTATGGTTATGGATCCTTGGTAATCATGGAGAAAATTAAATCCTGAGCCACTTTTTAGTAGGGAATCTCAGCCTGGACATTAAAGTGTCTTTAGACATGAATTTTAGGTAACCAAAAGTCACGTCAGCTATGTCAGGCAGCCAAACTATTAGGCTACAGATTGATAGTATACTAGGACAGCCCCCCCCCCCACTTTTTGGGTGCAGGGACCGGTTCCGTGGAGGGTGGTTTTTCTGCAGACTGGAGGGGCGTGGCTTCGCACACTGCACAGATTGGGCTTTGCTCACTTGTGCAGCCTGGTTCCTGGCAGGCCGTGGACCAGTGCCAGGCCACGGCCCAGGGGTTGGGGACCCCTATTCTAGAAGACAGAGAAGCCGGTTTGATCTCTTTCACTAGGTTTATTATTGTTAAAATAACTTCTAGCAGAAAAAGTGACAAATGGTACACATAATATCTCACCTGCCTGCAATATACATTTCCAGTAATCACCTTTGGCAAGACAAAGTACTTCTAAACACCGTATTGCCATTCTTTTCCTAATATAGGATTCGCAATTCAGCATGCCTGTTAAGATTTTTAACAATAATTTGTTAAACATTTAATGGTTGCATTAAACATGGCCAGCCCCGTGGCTTTTGTCTTAATTCTGGCTTATAACACTGTTTTTCTTTATAGTCTAACAGGAAAATTAATGGTGAATACAAGGCTTGTGGTTCTCTTATTACAGAGGTTCTCCAACTGTGGGCTGGATTAGAAGCAAATTTGAGGAAGAAATTCACATTTGGTTTGGGGAGTTTCTACCGACAAAACAGCATCGTTCTCAAAACTTGCTTCTGCTTTACTGGACAAACCAGCAGCCAGCTTACTCAAGCAAAGCCCGAAGTAAACTTGACAGGGTCCTACTATAACTTTTGAGTTACAAGCCTCCCAGCACATGCACCCAAAGAGCACCTTCAGCATTCACATCTGCTCTGCCTGAGTAAGCAAGCAGACAGTCAAGGTTTTCCAGAAATCAGAAAAAGATATTGATCTAAAATCAATAGGAACCAGAAGCAAGGGTAACTGTATCAAAACCAATAGCCAGATTTTTGGAGTTTTGCAAAAGTGAGGAGGTTTATCATTGTCAATACATTTTTAGTTTTAAATTTGTTGGTTTATTATTATTTATTTCTAAATAAAGGGATTGATTTTATAAATTTGGAAATATCTGTGTTTGTTTTATTTTATATACAGATTCTTTTTTATATTAAAAGTCAGCGATGTATTTATTTCTTGCCTAATACAAAGTCCCTTAGGTTTGTCTGTGAAGGTTACACAAACACATATTTTCAATTCTAGGGGTCATGGCGCCAAAAACTTTTATAACCCCTATGATAATATTATAGCCCTGTGCTGCCACCAATGGGTCATCCAGTTTCCTTGTTGGTCTATCTGCAGTACACCCTTAAGGCACTTCTGCCCTATGGGTCCTGTTAACTAGACTAAGCCATTTTAAGAAAATTCTGTCCAATCTAGCAACAGCTGGCAAAGAATTCAGTTGGGAAAGCAGGTCCTCCCAATGAACAATTCCTTTGCAACTGTCCCAATTTTCCTTTCTGGAAGTATCAATGACCGATTGCTTTCCTTTCTAAGGAGAGGTCTTACTGAACACACACACACCTGCATATACATATGCAATGAATTGTGGCTATTCCAAAATTGCTCTCTAGAAGACCATGACATCCGCTGACCGAGTTAAGGAGATGTTCCTACCTGTGCAAAGTAGCCAAAGTGCAAAAACCATTGTGTTGAAGGCACAGTGGGAAACGAAGACTGTTTCCGTGATGGGTAAATCATGAGTACAGAATGCTATTGTCTATTCCTGCTATCCAAAAAAGGTGGCTTGTATTGATGAGGCAAACTAGCAGTAGAGATAGATCCTTTGCAGCATTATCTTTGTTGAGTAGGAATCTCTCATCAGATTCTGTAGCGTGTCTCCAGAATGTTTTTTTTTTAATCACATCACCCTCATGTTGTCACCAAAAGAGAGCTTTAGTCACCCAGGAGAAGGGAAACATGAAGCTGGCATATGAATCATGGCTCAGTGATTAAAAACACTGAGCTTATCAGATGGAAAGCTGACAGCACAGGTTTGAGATCAAGCACCACACGGCTGGGTGAGCTCCCGTTACTTGCCTCAGCTCCTGCTAATCTGGTAGTTCAAAACCATGTGAAATGTGAGTAGATAAATAGATACCACTTTGGTAGGAAAGTAACAGCATTTTGTCATGCTGGCCATATAATCATGGCTTATAGTCATGCTGGCCGTATAATCATGGAAGCGTCTTTGGACAATGCTGGCTCCCTTGGCTAAGAAACAGAGATGAGCACCATCCCCTAGAATTGGACACGACTGGACGTGGGAAGCCTTTACCTTTTTAATCCCACCCTGAAAGTTTTCTGATTTAATCAGAATTACTGTATAGGGTACTTACCAACAAGAGTTTTCCAAACTGGGAGATCAGGGCTATTCAACTCAATTAGATGCTTTAAAACTTCTGTATGGAAGTTCAGTGCAGCCAAATGTATTATGTTATTTCCTTCACCGTCTTTTTTTAGCCAGTTGGCTTTAAGAGAAAACAAATACTTCATACTATCTAGTGCTCCAGATACAGCTGCAAGCAAAAGTGGTGTGGAATGATATCTATTGATAGAAAAAGAACAAAATACTGTGGTATGAAACAAACTGAACCAAATCTAAAGAAATACAGTGGCTTTTATTTCATGTACAGTACTTGATTTAGGACTAGTCGCTTAACAATCATTCAAAATTATGATGGACTCCCCCAAAGATACTTATGACCCAGTTCTGAAGTTCCTGGTCACAGGAACACTTGTTGGGCACAGGGCAACTGGCCTGCATTTACGGCCATTTGCAGTGTCCGCCAATCATGTGACTGCATTTTACCACGTTTTTGCTGAAAACTATTATTTACAAATATGCCCCATAGTGAACAATGGCATCGCTTTGTGGCCACCAGCAAAAAAGTTTGCAAAAACAGGTCTGGTCATGTAGTGACTCACTTTTATGACCACCATGACTTAGAACTGTCACAAGCAAGCTCCATTGCACTCATTAAGTTGAGGACTACCTATACATCATCAATCTAAAAAACTCAATGGAAGTCTAAGTAAACAAATTAAACTTACACGGCACATTACTCTAGGCCACTGAGACTAACTATCAGATGAGACTCACTTTTCTGGGGAACTATACTAAGACTCAAGGACAAGTAACACTTAGTTCCAGGGTTAGGGTTATGGTTAAATTGAGCTAAATTGTTAGCCTCCTTACAGAAATTTCTGTAAGGAGGCTAGCAGAATTTCATATCCTTTTTTTAAAAAAAAAGTCTGTTTTTTAATTTCTGTTCTAATAATATTACATTCCCCTCTGCTGATCTTTCCTAGGATTTATTATTAAATCAAGGTGGCAAGCTAGATAAAATTTGCACACACTAAGACATGGGAAATTGATTCAGGAGTGACCTTATCTGACAAAACACATTGGTGCTAGCACAGAAGATCTATGCATATACAGATAATCCTTGATTTACGAGCACAGTTGAGCCCCAAATTTATGTTGCTAAGTGAGACAATAGTTAAGTGAACTTTGCCCTGCTTTACAACCTTTCTTGCCTCAGTTGTTAAGTGAATCACTGCAACTGTTCAGTTAGTAACACGGTTGTTAAGTGATTTCCCCATTGACTTTGTTTGTCAGAAGGTCTGACAAAAGGTAATCACATGATCCTGGGACATTGCGACCATCATAAATATGATCCAGTTGCCAAGTACCTGGATCACGTGGCCATGGGGATGCTGCAATGGTCATAAGTCACTTTTTTCAGTGCCTTGGTAACTTCAAACGGTCACTAAACAAACTGTTATAAGTCAAGGACTACCTGTATAAGCATATGTATTCATTGACTGGACCACATTCTACCCCCCCTCCCAGATTCCTTACTAGCATGCCTTAGATCAAGGGTCTCCAACCTTGGCAACTTTAAGACTTGTGGACTTCAACTCCCAGAATTCCTCAGCCGGCAAAGTTGCCAAGGTTGAGGACCCCTGCCTTAGATTGTTGTTCCATGTTTGAGGGCCAGTTGCCAAAATTCTTGCTTCCACCCTCTTCTCAAGTCTCTGTTCAGGCTTCCTTTCCACTGAAGCTCCACTCTGTAGCCAAGTCAGTGCAGGCAGAAGCTGACAACCACATCCAATTGCTGTATATAGCTGCCCAGAGTCACTTAATTGAGTTGGGTAGCTATAGAAATTGAATAAACAAACAAACAAACAAACAAATACCACAGGTCTTCTCACTCTGACCTGGCTTCACAGCAATCCAGAACCACCACCCCCTCATTCCAACCAACCACTTCTTCTTCATTCTCAACTCTACCAGCTTCCTAAACCCACCAAGCAACCTGTCTCTGGTCTCCCCCCCCCCAACCCCATATTCTTCCGGGACACCTGTTTCTGCTTACTCACAGAGATTGAGTTTCAGCCTCTATTAGCTCTGTGTTTTTTCGGTAGAGGACTGTGATGCAGGCCACGTTGTCATAATAGGCAGCAAAATGGATAGGCAACCATCCTCGATCATCGGGTATTTGGTAATCTGCTCTTAAAGCCAGAAGGAAATGGAGCGCTTCAAGGGAGCTGCACTGGGCTGCTAGGTGCAAAGCTGTGGGTCCCCACGCTGAGAGATGACAAGAGGCAAGAGTGACCACTGGCCTGGAGGAAGGAAAGCTAAAGCTCTGTAGAAGAGAAGGCTTGCGTGCTAGCTATGTATCTGTGCTCTGTTCCTCATTTGTTTTTTTGCGTAATTAACATTAAAGTTATGCTATCCAAAGCTGTATCTGTTATTATTGCTGCAGCTCTTGATGTCAGAAAAGCAACCTATGCAGACAAGCATAAAATGAACCGCATTCCGGCATTTAATAACTCCAAACAAAATAAACGGTGGGCCAATTATAAAAGACGCACATTTGGAAATTTATAACCTATGTGTTTTTAACCATCTCATAAAAGCGTAAGAACACTTTATGGCAGACTTTTCTAGCTGAAGGTTCCACTGGGCAAAATAGGGATGACGCTCCAAAAAATAGGCAGAAGGTGGGACCAGAACAAAACGGAGTCAACGTGGAATGGAGACAGATTGAAAACAAATTTTTGACTTCAATCCATTCATGTTAATTAAAGAGAGTGAATTTGAATTCATGAAATATATTTAATGATTTTCACTTTGCATTGCATAAAACAGAAGCTCTCAAGCTGCATTAGAGCTGTTGCAGCTCTGGCCCTATGGCTTTCTTTTTCCATTTTATCTTCTTCTTACATGTACACTTTGGAAACATCGACATTCACATGTATTCATGTGTACCTTAGGGCCTGATATCTTGCAGTTAAAATGCATGGATGACTAGCACCTTAATATGCACAAGCAAATGATCAATGTCAAGGTTAAGTATGTTTAGTTCTTACACAGCATTTCAAAGGGACAGCTGGGAATACATAACGTTCTTAAATTCTTTCCTTTGAAATAAATGGATTTGCATCAACGTGCTTCGTTTGGACGGATTGTACTCGGGATTTCTTGAAACAGGGAAGGAGGGAAACAGCGATCTCTTGTGAGTCCAGATAAAATTTTATCTTTCTTCAGTATTCCTTGACATTATAAACTTGCTCAAGTGCCCTTGTGTGTGTATTGTATTAATATACATATACAGTACATAGTACGTACATACATGTTCATGTTTTGTCCATGTATGGTTTATTTCAGTAGCCCACATCATCAGATTGTCCTGATTCCCCAACATCTGAGGTGGACCTTGTTAATTTGGGTCACATCCAAGCCAGCATGACTTTCTTAGTTCATGCCACTCGCATATTTGAGGTAGGCAGGTGAAACATTAAGGCAGGGGTCCTCAGCCTTGGCAACTTTAAGATTTGTGGACTTCAACCCCTAGCTGGCTGAGGAATTCTGGGAGTTGAAGTCCAAAAGTCTTAAAGTTGCCAAGGTTGAGGACCCCTGCATTAAGGAGTCTTTGCCCAAGGACCCCTACCGGTAAGGTACGGATCAAACCAGATTTAAATCTCAGTCTCCTGCATCAAAGGCAGCACTCTTAACTACTGTGCTATTAAGCACTATCCAGCTGGGGAAGTGGTTCCAACAGATCCCAAGAACAACATCAGAGCTCTCTGTCCAGAAGAATGCAGCATTAGGAGCAGCTAAGATCCTGCACAGAACCCTCAGACTCCCAGGCCTCTGTTAGACAACCTGAAATTGAGGAGGACACATACCACCCATAGGGATGAGAAGGGAATGTTTTCTTTTTTTAAAAATATATACGTACTAGAATAGAAAAGGCAATCAGATGTGATAGCAAGAGAAATAGCTATGAACATTTGCATTTGATATCAAGATGGATCTAGTGCAACTTATCTCACTTTATTTTCAGCGGGTGCCAGTTACGCTAATTTTTTTAATGCAATTCAAAAACATAAATTACTTTCAATATCATGTCCTAACTGTATGGTATTTTTTTAAAATCTTAGAAGTCATTTCTCTTTTTTAAGTTGGATCTCAAAAAAGGAGGCTATGTGACTGGAGAAGGTGAGAAGTTTGTATGCAGGGCAGGAGCATGGTAATCATTACCAACATGCCACATCAAAGGGTACATTCTGTACTGCTACTTAAGAAAGAAGCATTATACCCAGTGGTGGGATTCAGCCGGTTCGCACCAGTTCGGCAGAACCAGTAGCTAATTTTTTGTTGCCCAGGCCCAGAATGGACTTCCGGACGCGGCATCCACACAGAGAACCGGTTGTTTACATATTTGAATCCCACCACTGACTATACCACTATTCCATGATTCTCCTCTTAACACACGTTTCCACAAAATGGAAGAAACTGCAAGAGTACAAAGGAAAATCTGCAAATGGGAGATGATTACCAGCATCTTCTGTTAAAAAAAAAGTCAGTGTTTGAAATAAGGCAATTTTGTACACAAAAATGTGTGCAAATATCCTTAATAAATATGATGTTAATCCTGGGTTTATTTACAACTCACAACTTCTTTCTCCAATCGTGACATCCTTTTCTATGAAGGCAGGTCTTCCTGAAAATAAAAAATAAATCACTTTCAGGTCACAGTTATAATTTGTACAGGGAGCCCTTGACTTACAATCACTCATTTAGTGACCGTTTGAATTCATAACAGCACTGAAACAAATGACTTATGACCAATTTTCACATATTGCAGTGTTCCTGTGGTCACGTGATCAAAATCCAGATGTTTGGTAGCTGGCTCTTAAGACAGCTGCAGTGTCCCGGAGGTCATGTGATCACCTTTTGCGACCTTCTGACAAGCAAAGTCAATGGGAAAGCCTGATTCACTTAACAATCGTGTTACTAACTTAACAACTGCAGTGATTTACTTAACAACTGTGGCAAGAAAGGTCATAAAATGGGGCAACAACTGTCTTGCTTAGCAACAGAAATTTGGGAGTCATTTGTGGTTATACGTCAAGGACTATCTATGTATCTATGTATCTATGTATCTATGTATCTATGTATCTATGTATCTATGTATCTATGTATCTATGTATCTATGTATCTAGCTAGCTAGCTAGCTAGCTATAATATGATAAAAGCAAATCACATTTAGCTACAATGTCATTTTGACTTAGTATTACATACAATCACAATAATCTCAATTATTCAGAATTTTTAGGGCTTTCACAAAATGCTATAAACTTCACTTTAAATTAGTTTGCCCCTCCAGCTGGTTCTTGAGTAAAACTGATTTTTGAAATAATTTTTCACATAACGTTGAATTTGCATGCATGAATGCTCCTGCAATGCTTCCAACTATTGGAAGACCTCTGTCTCATTACTGCTAAACAGTATTGATCATAAAATGGGATAGCTGCTAAAGCTTTGTTTTATATAAAAAGAGGATAATAAATTTATAACATACCACTTTTTGCCTCTGGTCTTTGGAAACGTTTTCCTGGAAAAAAAAACCAACCCAAAATTATGTTGATATTGTCTTTGTTACTGTATTTTTATATGATAGTTAGCCTTATCATATGACAATTAATAAATAATAAATTAATAACAGATATAGCACACATAAAAAGATAACCTCTAAACATTTACTACTCATTACTAGGTAAAGATTGTGGAATGACAATGTTAGGGTGATTTAATAGGTGAGGATTAAGTGACTACTGTGTATGCCTTGCAGTTTTAATCTCATTTTTTTTAAAAAAAAGTTTACAGTGTCCCAGTTCATATATTCAGCTAGGCTATAATGTGCTTTGACTTTGGCTTAGCCCTTACCTTGAAGCTTAGTCTTGAATGAGTTTACTCAACAAACTATGTTTATCAAATCCTGACAAAGCATGCTCTGTGAACCCAACCACTGAAGCAAACATTCAAACCTTGGGTTCTTAATTAGTCTGTAGATAAAAACTGAAAAAACAACATGCCACGTTGGATAAATTGCCCTAATTAGATGACAGAATATTGAGGACAAATGTTGAGCACAGATATTGAATGTGAATTACACATCGATAAGTTATGAAATCTATAGAAGGAGCAAAACAGGATCTCATACGTTTTGGAAAATAAAACAAATGACACCCCAAGAAATGAATACTTTGCAGAATATCCATATTCATTTCTTTTTATATATACGTATATATAGTTTCTAAATTCAGACTTTTAGTGTTTCATATAAATGGGAAGGAGTAGAACTCCGACACTCCCAAGTTGTTGGCAGCATCTACTCTTTCTTACCTTGGCTCACTGGAATAGAACGCTTTTGATTAATAGTTAGATGCAATTTAACCACCTGAGCTATAATTGCCACACGGTTGTAAATAGCGGCATGATGGATATATGCATAACCATTGTCATCTGTAATAGCAAGACTGTTGATGGAGGTCCTGCGGCAGAAGGTAAGGAAGATGGCAGCCAGTCCTCTATCAGCAGCAGATTTCATGCCAAAAGACAGGCTCTAAAACCACAGAAATGAAAACAGTGAAGGTCGCTCACTCTATTTGTGCTTTCAGTTATGATTCCCTCTTGGTTTCAAGATAAGATAACCTTTCTTGTCATTTTTTTTACTGCGGGCACAACGGCAGACATCAAAAATAAGATTTAGTTGCCCGGTCTCAAAGTGAAACACACACGTGACACACACCAAAACATACTATGTACAACATATGTATAGACCCACACTCCTACATATACACAACAAATAAATATTAAATACTGTCCATCTTGAATATATAACGGAAGGAGGAAGCTTGAGAGTTCGCAAGGTTAATGCTGTATGGAATGAAACTCTGGCTGAATCTGGATGTTCTGCTTCGGATACCACAAAACCTCCTCCCAGAAGGTAACAAGGAAAACAGGTCGTGAAGAGGATGTATAGTGTCCCAGATAATCTTATGGACCCTGCTCAAGCTCCACTTCTGTGCTATGTCCTGGATGGGAGGGAGGGAAGGAACTGCCAATGATCTTTTCGACCATTCTCACCACTCTCTGCACCGCCTTCCTGTCTGAAGCAGTGATGCTTCCAAACTCTAGCCTTGGGGGGGGGGGCGAATGTAGTTTAAGATGTAATTGTTATGATAATAATAAGTAGTTTGAGAAAGCAGAAGAGAAGAGAAAAAAAACTGGATAAAATCACAAAATACAAAGATCTGCAAATAGAAGTTGAATGACTGTGGCAAAAGAAAGTAAAGGTAGCATCAGTAATAGGTGCCGTGGGGGCAATCCTAAAACAACTGGAACACCACTTGAACAATATTGAAATTGACAAAATCACCATCTGTCAATTGCAAAAGGCAGTTCTACTTGGAACAGCTTCCCTTCTGCCATGATACCTTTAACACCTGCTGCCTATTTCAGGTCCTTGGGAAGAACTAAGTGGATTAAAAAAAAATGCCACCCACTCTAAATATCTGGCTCATTGTGCAGCCAACCATTGTATAATAATATATTTCGTTTCTTTTTTTTTCCTGCTGTATTTTTTCACTTTTAAAGCCCTTTTTATATGTTACTTTTTTTCTTTGAGAATGTATTTGTGTTATAATCATGCCGGTATTTTGTTTCTTTCTTTTTTTCTTTTCTGTTATTATTTTGAAAGCAATATAAAGTAAAAAGATGTAATTGTGATGCTGAATTGTATTTAAAAAGTATGAATCTTGATATTTATAAAAGAATTACTGGCTCTGTTGAATCAGGGTTTCAGCAAAGAGAATTATTCTATATAGCTGGAAACAAATCTACAGACCTGATATTAAAAATTAGATTAATGGAATGTGTTATCAACTGATGAAATTATTTATATTCTAAAAATGATATGGCAGTTGGAGGGAATTCTGGTAGATGTAGAAGGAAATTCTCCTACAGGTCTCACACACTGCCCTCCTCCAGTCCTCAAGAGAAAATTATTTTCTGAATATGAAACTGGCCACTGGTAGTTTTCTTTTCAAATCTAAGCAGTATCTTTACTGGAAGATGTTTGCTATTACATCACAGAAAGAAAGATTTGAATTCTCCTCTAGCATATGTACACATCTATTAATTATCTACCTCAGTGGTGGCGAACCTACGGCACGGGTGCCAGAGGCAGCACTCAGAGCCCTCTCTGTGGGCACGTGTGCCATCGTCCCAGTCCTAGGTCTTCAGCTGGGTTTTATAAAACCTTTTCACTTTAGGCCTCCGCCGCCGTGTGCAAAAAAAAAAAAAAGGTTCAATCAGTCAATTTCAACTTCTAGCAGGAAAAAAAAAGGTCTTGCAAAGTTGGAATTGATTGAACTTTTTAGTCCCACCCAGTCTGCCGTTACTACCGCAGCCACGCCTACCCAATGGGCCACACCCATCCAATAGGCCACACCTAACCAATGGGCCACATCCAGCCAATGGGCCACACCCACCCGGCACTCGATGATGCATAAGTGGGTTTTGGGTTGCAGTTTGGGCACTCAGTCTCTAAAAGGTTCGCCATCATTGATCTACCTCAATTCCTAAATGAAACTAATTCGTTGTTTTTTTTAAAAAAAACAAACAAACCAGGAGTTTAATTTCAAAGACCACTTTAACATTGTCTACTTTGGCCCTCCAGTGCATACCTTGCTCAAAAATGAAACAGTAAGAAACCAGGATGCAAATTCATCACTTGAAAAGTGCAATGTGTGGATGGGTTATCACAAATAAACCAACAGAGTCATTTGCAAAACTGCATTGGGCTCTTGCAAGTCTAAGAGTTTTGCGCCAAAATTATGAACCCCTTTATTATTATTATTATTATTATTATTATTATTATTATTATTATTATTATTATTATTATTATTATTATTATTATTATTATTATTATTGATCATCACACAGTCAGCCAGATGTTCAGACTGGATTTGGCATTTTGTTTACCTATCGAGTCCTTACCAAGGACCTGGGATAGGCAGATGTGGATGTTTGATGGTATTACAGATATTGTCGCAGGATGGAAGCAGTTCCTAGTAAGGCCGCCTTTTGCAATTGACTAATGGCGAATTTGTCAATGCCAATGGTGTTCAAGTGGTGCTCCAGTTGTTTTGGGATTGCACCCAAGGCGCCTATTACTATTGGTACTACCCTTGCTTGCTTTTGCCACAATCTTTCTATTTCTATTTGTAGGTCTTTGTATTTTGTTATCTTCTCCAGTTCTTTCTCATCTATTCTGCTGTCTCCAGGCACTGCCACGTCCACTATCCAGATTTTTTTGTCTTTCTTATCGACAAATGTTAAGTCCGGGGTGTTATGTTGCAGGTGCTTGTCTGTTTGAATTCTGAAGTCCCAGAGCAGTTTAATTTTATCATTTTCTATGACTTTCTCTATTTTATGATCCCACCAGTTTTTGCTTACAGGCAAATGATATTTCTTGCAGATCTTCCAATGCACCATTGTTGCTACTTATTATTATTATTGTTATTATTGTTATTATTGTTATTATTATTGTTGTTGTTGTTGTTATTATTATTATTATTATTATTATTATTATTATTGCTATTTTACAGCTGTTGAACTGTAGAAGCCCTGTTCTGTATGGAGGTTAAATACAAAGTCAAGGAACAGAAAGGAAAAGCATTAGCAGAAAGGGTACAGAAGTTGTGTTTGAAGGACAGTAATAAAGATTAGTTTGTTTTGGTGATTAATACATCTGCTTAGAGATAATTGTCATAGCAATAATAATATAAATACAGACTTTGACAGATTTGTTCTCTAGAATATTCAAACCCTTAAAACATACCTTACATTTAATAGCTTTCTTATAGCCAAATCTTTTCTTGAATTGATCCATTGCTTGCATGTCAGTTAATGGAAGCCTTTTTGGTTTAAGGATGCTTATTATTTCATTGATAGCTCCCCACCACTGACTCTTAAAAAGCATATAAAAAGCTTCAAGCTCAATGCCAATTACGTAATATCTGTTTTAAAAAAAAAGAAGCCACATTACGTTAATAATCAAATATTTTAATGGATCATATATTTAACAAATGCTTTTGGAAGGAATCTGCACTAGTGGTAATCTTTCAACCGAGCATAATTGATATTCATTAGTCCTAAATAAAGCTATTTCTACTTCATCTCTGACAGTTAAATTGGACTGAAATCTAGCAGTCTCCAATACTTGGATGGCAGTGTGACTGGCTACAAGTTGTGTATATATTTAATTAATTCAATTCAATCACCTGACCAAACCTAATGCCCTCCAGATTTTTTAGACTACAGCTTTGTACCATTAACTTTGTAGATGTTTTAATTAGTGAGTTTTAATTAAACCAAGCCATTTGGAAGCCACCTATTTAGGGAAAGCTGATTCATATACCTCCAGTGAAGGAGAGGTGACATACATATCTATATCTATATAAATAAAAATGTAAATGTTCGTTTGTTCAAAATCTTAAAGCTCTGAAAGTTCTTCACTGATTGCTTTGAAATTTTGACACAACATTGCATTCGAATACGCACGTGTTTTTATATACCTATTATATAGATGTCACACCTGTGACAGTAAAAACATGCTTTTTTTGAAAAACAGCGCCATCTGTTGGACGTAAAAGCAACACACGCTAACCAGACTGAGCCACAGCAACGCATGGCCGGGTACAGCTAGTACTAGAATAGAATTATATTTTAGTTTATCTCATCTTCCCTTCCTTAACAGACTATGCGGTTCGCCATCACAGTATTTTAACTTGATAAATTATAACTCTTACTAAATTCAGAGAGAAGAATTCAAAGTCACTCAGTAAATCTTATGGCTTGTGAGAAATTTTAATTTACATCTCCTAGTCAAACTCCATATCACGATGGCTTTGTAGAGAGACTCTATGGCAGGGGTGTCAAACTCACAACGTCATGTGATGTGTCGTGACGTATCGTGACTTTTTCCCCTTTGCCCGCAATGGGGTGGGTGCGGTTTTGGCGTGAGGCATCCAGCCTGCGGGCCGGCAATTTGACACCCCTGCTCTATAGGGCTGTGTGTGTTTGAATTAATTAATTAATTAATAGGGAAATTCTGTTTTCTGTTTAACATTTCTGATTGCTTGTCAGCATTTATAATAATTTCTGCATTGTTACTTACAAGTAGTCCTCAAATTACAGCCATAATGGAGCCTGACCATCATGGTTATAAGTTGTGACAGTTGTAAATCAAGTCACTCACATAACTGACATGATTTTATAACCTTGTTTGCAGTGGTTGCTAAGCAAACACCACGGTCCTTAAGCATACACTGCAGTTGTTAAGCAAAGCAATGGTTTGCTATAGGCTGGGTTTTGTTTTATGGAAAACCAGAAGTAAATGCTGGGTTTTGCCAGATCCATTGTAAAATGTAGTCTCATGATGGTAGGATGCTGCAAATGGCTGTAAATGTGGGCTGTGAGTGACCAAAATGCGATTACATGACCTCCAGGGGAGGGGCGGCCATTGGAAATTCAAAACCAGGACCCAGATTGTTGGGGACAATATGCTGACTCTGTAAAGCACTACAAAGCGGTATATAAGACTAAGTGCTATTACTATTACAATTTGAGTACCTAAAGGACTCAAAATGTTTCAGCTACTTTGAACTTAATCTAGTGAATTTTCTCAATGAATGGAAATATTTTTGCACGCTCTTTACCTTTTGCCATCAAAATCCATTACTGGTATCGAATAATGTTCTCTGTAGGGGGCATCTGGGTCCAGCAGTTGAGTAAGATGATTTATTGCACAGGTGTGCATTTCATCATAGGCAGCCTATATAACAAGAACATGCTAAATATATCTGATGACATTTGCAAATTTGTAAATTTACCACAAATTTTCTGTTATCGTAAATATTTTACCTTTGCAACATATTTCCATGTTTTCCTCTGTTCTATAGAGGAACAGGGGGAGAGCCTTCTCTGTGGCAGCTCCTGCCCTCTGGAATGACCTACCCCCCGACCTACGTACAGTTGCGGACCTGCACCTTTTTCGCCGAGCCCTGAAGGCCCATCTATTCCGTGTGGCCGGCCTGGCGTAGTTTGATTATGTTTTAGTGGGGGTTTTGTATGGGGTGTTTTTAGAACAGGCCTGTTATTTAATTTGATTTTAGAACAGAAACTTGTGTATATTTATCGTGGTTTTTAGTATCGCCTGTTCATCGCCCTGAGTCCCGTAAGGGAGATAGGGCGGTATATAAATTTAATAAATAATAATAATAATAATAATAACATCCCATATAGTATTATAATTTGCATGCTGATATATATAGAGAATTTATAATAAACAAAAGGAGACAGTTAACAAGAAAAATATATTCTTGCATGTATGATAATTTTGGCTAATTATGTTTCCATTACAGAAAGTCATTACAGAAATCTGGATCTGAAAGTATTCTGTGCTGCTACTTTTATATAAGTACCCAATGAAGCTGATTTCCAGAACTCTCAAGTTATGAAGCAGAGCCTTCAAATTAAATACTACTTAACCTTACAACTGAACTCAAATAAGCTTCTGCCCACAATTGAGATAGTAATTCTCTTTCCCTTTCCCTCTCCCTCTCTCTCCCTCTCCTTTCCCTCCCCCCATCCATCCCCCCATCCATCTCTGTGATAGACAGAATAACTAGTGCAGTTGTTTTTGTTCCTTAAAAAAAACCAACAGCTTGATACCTTAACCTCTTTGGAAACTTCTTCAACTGAAGGCGTCCCAACATCAAATTCAATGCCACCATGGAGATGGAAATACTGATTCTGGGCATACAAAAAATGTTGGCATTTGAAATCTGTTCCTAGCATAAATGGGGGTAATTCACGTTCGGTTTTAACTTTGTCATCTATAAAAAGGAAAAACAGAGTTTGATTCAGAATGATGACTGTCACTATTGATCAATCCGTGTTGGCAATTTTTTAAGAAAGGAATTACACTTTCCAGATAACTTCTAGAAACTACAGTTTTCAATATTTTCATCAAACGAAGAGGACTGCTTCTTTGGCAAATTAATTATTGCTATAACAATAAAGAAAGAAAAAGCTACTGAATATATGTAAATGTGTGTTTGCATTTTTAAATTACATTGTATTCAAATAAAACCAATAACCGAATTTTCAAATGAAAGGAGTTCTGGAACATGGCCCCCAAAAGTCAATTTGCTTGGAAAATGAATAAAAATCACATTTATGGTCCCAAACATATTTTATTTAAGTTACCCATATCTATACAAATAAACTTTTTTTAAAAAAACTTTTTAAATGGCTACTCAGAGAATTAATGAGTTTATAATGAAGGACATATATTTTAGGGACAATAAATGCAAGCATTTAAAAGGAACTTGCAGTATTTAAAGTTCTTTTGCGATTCACTGAGATTCGTAGAACTGGTACACAACTGAAAAAAGGCATAACAGTAAAGAAGAATCAACTGGTCAGTATAAAATAATCCATTAATGTTAATATTAAGAATAAACAATGAAAAAAAACCATTTATCCACAACTGTAAAAATGTCTGTTAGCTTCTGATATAGGTTTTCATTCTACTTATTTTTTCATTCAGTTTTTCAATTTTTCTCCCCTAGCTGGTCAGCTTTTGTAGCTAATGAGTTTCCTCGGTGCTGTTTGGGTTGCTTTGGGGGGTTCCTAATATCTTGGGGTTCTTTTTAAAAAACCTGCCAAACCCGCATCCTTTTAAGTACCTCTGTTATACACCCATGCTTTCAGAAAATAAAAAGACCAAATGGGCTTTGTCACTTTTCTCCTCTCTTGGCAGGTTTTTATTTGAGGCAGATGAAAAAAAGAACTTATTGGCACCAGATCACTGAGAAAATTCTTTCATGGTCAACACTACTTTATTTTTAAACCAAATATTAAACGTTTTATAGTATCAATTGGCGGGCAACACAGTGGGACGTGAGACGTTGCATATACAGTAACTAATGGCTTATAGCAATCCTGCAAACTTTACCATTGATAGTGCATGTCGAAAGTGGTATGCCCCTCAAGTCACTCTCTTGGGTTTTCCAGACCAAATAAAGAGCATATCACTTTTGACAAGCAATACAAATGGTGACATTTGCAGGACTGCTATAAGCCATTATGTCTCAACCCAACCGTTCAGTCTGTAAAAAGAGGTATGAGAATTAATTATATGATTCTTATATAGTACCTGTTCAGCCTACCAGTGTTGCAAAATAGGACAAGGCCTCTGGATCACAGTCTAGAGCAGACATGTCAAACTCACGACATCACGTGACGTCGCGCAATGTATCGGGACAGTTTTGCCATTGCTGGCAATGGGGTGGGTGCGGCTTCTGCGTGATGTGTCCGGCCCGGGGGCCGGCACTTGGACACCCCTGGTCTTGAGCCCCCAAACCAAGGAGGAACCCAGATGACTTTTCAGAGACTAGCTTGTAAAAGCAACATCATCCAATACATACAAGATCAACAACTGTGCTGTATGCTGAGTTCTGACAGGACTGGGGTTATTTTTTTCTACAGCCTCATTTCTTGTCTTCAGGCAGATGAAAAATCTAACCAGTTTCTGGGAGGTGTGTGGAAGGCAAAACTGTTTAAAATGTAGTATCACTACAAGTGATAAAGGGAATTCCAGTGTTATAGCTGTTATGCCTTTCTCCTCATTTCGGCACTTACTTATTGAGGCCTCAATAGTTTTTCTTTTTCTTTTTCTTTAAAAAACAACCCTGTTCACCTGGCCTATCTAGACAGAGAATAGACTAGACGAGGGGTAGGCAACCTTGGCTCTTTTATGACTCGTGGACTTCAACTCCCAGAATTCTGGGAGTTGAAGTCCACGAGTCATAAAAGAGCCAAGGTTGCCTACCCCTGGACTAGACTCTAGTCACAAAGATGCTTCTTTCCAAAAGGCAACTGGGCTTTCTTGCTTTTTTTCTTTTTTCTTTTCTTTGAAAATGTTTCATTTCTTATCCAAGAAGCTTCAGTTAGAACTGAAGAAGCTTCTTGGATGAGAAGCAAAATGTTTTCAAAGAAAAAAAAAAAGAAAAAGAAAAAAACGTCAACCTAGCTGTCTTTTGGGGGAAAAAAAGCACTTTTGGGACAACCGTCTGGATGATTGAGAATCTCCATAGACTAGACTCTAGTCTACTCAAATCTGTTTTTGTGGCATGAACAATTGTGTTTGTCATTTGCAATTGTAACGGTACTACCCAGTTTTTTCATCCCAGAGATACCAGTTTCAATGGCTTTTATTGTCTGACTAACTAAGAAATCTCTTTCAACAAACACAGCATACTCTTACCTGAATAGGGCTGAAGAAGCCGGCTTAAATTTGGAACTTTATTTTTTCTCTTTAAATTAATGATAAATGGGATGAGAAAGCATATCAGCTTCATGTATGCTATGTTCTTTTGAATGTCTTCTTTTTTTTCTAGATGCTTTTTCACAAGTTTGAGCTGAAGGGTGAGCCTCTGCTGTAGTCTCTGGTATGAAAAAGCATCGAGGTGGTCCTCAGTCATTCTAATTGCATTGGTGAGGTTGTACGCTGCATCAAACAGGAACACGTCTTCATACTGTTGAATCTTTGTAGTGGCAAATGTCAGCTTAAGTATTATATGGTCTGCAAACTGCATAAAGAACATTTTTTCTTCTATGCTGTTAGGATTGTAAGTTGGATCTTCATTCATGTTTTCATCATAGATTCCTCGGAATTCTGGTTCTTTTGTAATATCTATTAGACCTATACCATATACATACACATATAAGTTCTATACATATATTAAAAGATAAACATATTAAAAGATAAACATATTAAAATATAGATATATCCTACAGGCTGGAAACATGCGGAAGAGGCCTTCATCCTATAGTGGGTAGACAATGGCTAAAATGATGATGATATATCCATCTTGGGCCACCCTACACCACTGTTGTGCTGTTCCTGGCTTAAGTATAGATCTGTGCATGCAACCCTCTGTCAAACATCTTGTGTTCTCCAACATTCCTTGCATTACCTGCATTGTATTGTAGTGAGGCTTGGTGAATCTGAATGTGTAAGTGTGTAATGCTTAAGCAACTGTATTCAATACAGCTAAGAGATTAATAGGGGCTCTTTTTTGCCTTATATTTCCCTGATTCCTCCATTACTGCCTACATCCTGAAGTACCAATCAGTAAGAAGAGTACAGTATTTGGTGATCTGGGGCATGGGGGAAATAATAGATTGGGGACTTTATAGATTATTGCTATTAAGATGGCCTTGGGGCAGCCTTTCATTACTGACATAATTTTTAGTGACATTTGAGGGTGTTAAGGAAGGTTATCATTAAGGGATATGCCGGGGAACAGTGAATAGTAATGGATTAAAGTGTAGAACTTAGAAAGAAAGTGAGTTACAGCTTTGGAGTGTGGCAGTGAGTTGCTGAGCTGGGAAGAAAGAAGTTGGCATCTTGCAGTGGTAGTGGCCAAGGAGCCTGTCAGTGAGGTGAGAAAAAGTGAACAGGATCTGGCAGAGAAGTGCTGGGGGTGGGGGCAGGACTATGTTTGAAGAAAAGAACTATGTTGAATGGAGATAAAGTACCTACTGAAAAAGACTGCAAAAAGAAGTAAATGGCCTTGAGAAGAGAAACTTTGGTAGCTCAAATATGAACTTCCTGTAAAGGAGTCTGAGAGATGGTGCTCATCAGATGAGGTAACAGGAACAAACAGTGGAGTAGCAAGGGATACAAGGGAGTGTAGAGTTCTGGGAAGCATCACTGCTGGACTCGCACAATAGTGTGCTGCTTTTCCAGAAGCAGAGCTCATCAGGCTGGGAGGGGTCAGTAATGGATGAGTCTAGGCCAGGGGTAGGGAACCTTGGCTCTTTTATGACTTGTGGACTTCAATACCCAGAATTCCTGAACCAGCCATGCTGACTCAGGAATTCTGGGAGTTGAAGTCCACAAGTCATAAAAGAGCCATGGTTGCCTACCCCTGGTCTAGGCAATGGGGGTCTGGTCTGACTGCCACCACAAGTCCTGCTGGAAGGAGCTTGTGACTGCAAAGGACATTGAACAATTGCCTGGGACTAGGTACTCAACCTTTTGGTTGGTTTTGGGCACTCAGGGATTTGGTTAAGCTTGGCTATTTGGGGAAGAGATGGGGAGTGACATAGAGTGGCACCTCTGGAATGGGAGAACTAGGATAACAATCTTTTCAATGACTGCTCTGGGTCCTATATGTGTTTCACTTAGATATACATTTGCAAGCAGCCACGAGTGATGGAAGCTTCATGATATGTATTCACAACATGCATATTTCAGATATGTACAGGTATTTTATGTGATACCGTTTCATCCTGATCATTACTTCCTATGTACATTGAACCACGTTTCATGCAGTGGTCAAAAACATGTGAACACAAAACTTACCAGCTTGACAGAACTCTGCAGCAGGCGTTTTTAATGTTTGGGGAACCCCGTCTTGATCAATATCCATGCTAGAGCGCCAGAGTTCAGAGAATCGTACCCTTTTTTCCTTGGGCATGTATACTCCATGCCACAGGGCTTTCAACATATAGTCAACCGCGATTAATATTTGTCCTATTCTTGTATCAAAATATCCCGGAGGGAGTGAACAGGAAGTGCTCTGATCATAATTGGCATCTAGACTGATAGAAGGGATTTGGTTCAGACAATAAATGCCCACAGCCAACTCTCTGATCATTTGATGAATTTCCCGACAGTCCAAATCTAAGCCTGGCTCCACTGGCATAAGTATAATCGCTATGGAAGTATTGATGCTTTTCATCTGACTCAGAAGTCCACTGGGAAGTTCTAATGGATGACGCATGTCGTCTTTGGATGCCAACCAGCTGCAGAACGAAGTGGTAAGTAATTCCTGAAGCTCACTTCGCTCGTACTTCTCAAAGAAGGCACTAGCATTCCTCTGTGCTGCCAGGTGGGCTAAGTAGGCTGCTTCATCTGCTTGCTCATTTCTAAGGGCTTGCTTCTTAATTGGTCTCAACATCCTTCAAAATTTTCCGTTCTGCTGTTTTGAAATGTAAATTATTTTGGGGTGAGAGGGTAAAGGAAGTTAAAAGTTAAAATTAAGCAATGTAAGATTTCCTGGAAGAAAAATATATGAAGGGTCCTTGGTGCTCTCTGAACTTGGTTGTTTTCTTGCAGACATTTCATTACCAAACTAGATAACATCATCAGAGTAGGGAGTGGGATTTACTCTCATTTTATATTGTTCTGTATGCCCTTTCCCTCTTATTTCTCCAATAGGACATTCATTATTTAGCTATAATGCCTGGAAACAACATTCTGTTTTTTACAAGATTTTTTTTATACTTTACTGTACTGAGATTTGAATCAGGTTCTGTCCTTTTTTAATTTATAGTTTATTAATGTATTTTTAGATTATTTGAATTAGTGACTAGCGTGGACATATTTTAATATGAACAGGAGCAAAAACCATAACACTTTACCTGTAATACTAAAGTTGAATATCTGAACTAGAAGGGAAATGATTTGAATAAAACCCATCTATAACAGAATACGAATAGAACCATTTTTTTTGTTTAGTGGGAGATAAACAGCACTTTAATATAGCCATTAAAATCAATGAACTTTTAGTACACTTTAATTATTTTTCTACCATTTTGTGACCAAATGATATTCTAGGGAAGTGAAACTATATGGATATTTATTTATTAATGGTGTGAGAGGCAGCCTACAGCTTTCTTGTTTTTTGTGACTTTTGGAATCTCTTGATTGTTCCACAAAAATTAACAATACATTGATTTAATTTTGCATTTGAAAAAAGAGAAAGCAATAATATAGGTGTGCAGTGAATGTTCAGGAAAGCCCCATTCCTCATTCACTTACAATCAACATTGTATGAGATTCAATATACTTCAAGATGACTGAGGCACAAATAGGGTGTGATTGGAGATGAAGTGATTACCCCCATCACAAGAAACAACTATATGAGTTGTTTTAAATCAGGGGTCTTCAAACTTAGCCACTTTAAGACTTGTGACTGAGGAATTCTGGGAGTTGAAGTCCACAAGTCATAAAAGGGCCAAGTTTGAAGACCCCTGCTTTAAATCAAGAAAAAACTTGGAAACCGTCTGAGAGAAGAAACGGAGCACCTTCTATCTCCTCAACATCGTCAGAATTGATTAGAATCCTCAGGGATCTAGAAGGACTGTCCAGAAAGACTGGAGACAGATGGATTTTTTTTTTTTAAAGAAAAATGACTATTTTTGAAAGGATAGGTTTTTTTTCTTTGTGTGTTTAAAGTCAGATTATGTTATCCCTGGTAATTGTACAAGCTCATTTCTTATGTTTTATGCATATTACAAGCTCTTCATTAGAAGACTAGCATTATTATTATTATTATTAGTATTATCTTATAATCTGAGTCTTTTATTTATCTTTGTATTTTTTTAAATGGAAGCTCCTGATAAATCAGTACCTGAGATTTGAATATCTTTTATGAGACTGGCTGACCTTCCAAAAAGGAAAGAGAGGAAGATGCAGTTGATTTTCCTTGCCTCATCTCCATAAGGCCAGGAGGTAGTGTTAAGAATTTATTTCATTTCTTTCTGGTTCTTTTTTTTTCTTTTCTTTTTTTCAGAAAGCAATACAGTTAACAATAGCAGGGATATTTCTAAGCAGACAGTTTGCAGTGCAACCAGTCAAAAGATGTGTGACTGCTTTATCTATGTCTTCTTCACTTATATAAGAAAAACAAGAAGTAGTACTGAGTTTTACAGAGCCAGTTTGGTATAGAGGTTTAGGAACCAAGCTACAAAGCAGGACGCTGTGAGTTTAAGTCCCGTTTTTGCCAGGAAAGACAGCTAGGTGACAATATGTCATATGAGCAATAATTTGAACTTAGTAAAATCAATGCAGGGCAAACTATTGCTTACTAGGTAAGCAAAAAAGTTTTGTCAGAAAAATTCTTGGACAAAAAAAGTGTAAAAGCATAGAAGATAAAAAGTTGAGGGGCTTTCCTAAATATGGAATGAAAACTTTGAGTGCAGATAACAAGTATTCTGATTTTCTAGCCACCTGTAGCTTAGATGTAGGACACAAAGCAGTGCCTCTTCAAAAAACTGTTACCATCAAACTGGCCCTCATATAAGAGAAGAAAGCTCTTTAGGTATTCCAGAAAGATGTCACTGGGTGTACACATTGCGCCAAGCTGTAGCCTGCTTGGTTTTGACAGAACATAATGCACGGATATAACCGATTTTAGTTTAATAAAACAGATGGCTTGAGGTGTGAATCTAGCCAGAAAATGAACCAGGATGACTGGGTAGCGATATACAAGCTGTAGAGGTCATGTGTATCCCTAACCAGTCATCCCTTCAGCCCTTGGTCTGATGGAAAATCGCCAAACACTTTTAGGTAGCATTCTTATTTCAGCCTGAGGGAAGGGAAGAGAGTGAAAAGGGAAACGTACTTTTTTTCGTGCTCTTTAAGCATCCTGACTGAAAAGAGAAGGCAGAAAAAGCAGTAAGCCACCTCTGATACCCACTAACCATTCAAAGGTTATCTCTCCCAAATCAGGGAATAGAACAGAAACCAGAAAAAAAAATTCTAATAGGTCTCTGGAAACTCAATCCCAGATAAGCAAGGTGACCGAAACACAAACCTATGCCTGTAAATCTATCAATAAGTGGGAGTCTTGCCTTTTGTCCCAGGACTAGAGAGCCTCCAGTTCACAGCCTTAGCTGTTACATGGTGAAGAAGGGAGTAGAAAGGAAAGGCTGTCACTATGGATACCATAGAACAGTAAAAGAATCCTACTATTGGTGAATTTACATCTTTCGGGAGCAAAGAGGGAGGGGGTCTCATCTCATGTTAAGCTTTTCCAGTAGTAGCACTTGGCCTAAGTAAGTTTTTTTAAAAAATATGGGCACCTTCAAGATGACTGAATAGATTGCTGCGAAGCTGGCATCACATGTTGATTGCTCATTGCTTTGTCTGGCAGAGATAAGAACTGCCTAGCGATCGCACTTAGTCAAAGACACTGGATGATAGAAGATGCATGTGATTTTTACACATTAAAATTTCATTTACAATCCAAGAAGGAAGAGCCAATAGTAAAAAAACTAACAGATTTAGAACTATCCATTAATAAACATTCTCTCAAAACAATAGCTGGGATTCTGAGGACTCTCCTGATGAATACTGGATATACAATGAAATATCAGAATAAAGATGACAAATGCTTTGCTCTTGGTAGTTTGAATCACTTGAGTACTTTCAAGTTTCTATTGTAGAACCTAAACAAGCAATGAAACTGATTTGATTAACATTTCTTTGAAGCAGCAGCCAATATATTACTTTAATAAATAAATCTGTGACAAAAAAACCTGTATAAAATTTATTGCAGGTAATTCAAATAGTTATGGCAAAACTATAACATGCTTTTTATTAGTTATTATTTCTTTAATTCTTACCTCAATGGGAAGTCCCTGCTCCTATGTATAACATTTTAAGAAATAATATAAAATCTCGGGTGCTTATTCCCAATTAAACGTTCAGAATCGTGGTCCTAATGTAACTGTATCCAAAGTCTTTGAAGTTTGGAATATATATATATATATATAATTGCAGTAAAAAACAAATAAATACGAACACCAGGATAATATCAAACTAGAAATCGTTTAATAAAACGCTGAGCTTTCGTCGGCCAGCACTACCGACATCATCAGAGCATAAGAGCAAGTCAATGGGAGTCCCCTTTTTATGATACCGGCCGGTTTTGCACATGGCTCCTGGACCTGGTCATCAGTCCATCCAACATCCTTAATTGTTTAACTTCTAGGAGGCACGCATTGGCTGTTCCCTTGGTGTTTTTCAAGACTGCTATTCCATTATCCACTTTCCTTCCTCCAATCCCTCCCCTCGTACATACACCGCTGTCTGTTATCCCACCACTGATTTCTAAAGCTGCTGTTCTCCCTTCCCCCTTTTTTTTGCCGATCGCTTTCTTTGTGTGTGTCCAATTATCTGCTTCCACCACATTGAGTCTCGGGCTTGCTGCTCTTTCCTCCCCCTTTTTCCTTTCAATAGTTTTCCTCATGTATCTGCAGTCATCCGCTGTATCTCCATTAGTTTTTAGAGTCGCTGCTCTCTCCTCCCCCTTTCTTTCAGTATTTGTTTTGTTCGTATGCCTCCAACTATCGCATTGTGCTAAACGCTCTAGTTCATTCCCTCTCCTCACCCCCATCTTCTCAGATCGTATCCGTTCTTTCTCTATAGGGCTGTCAGCAGGCTGTGTGTCTAACCCGGTCCTCCTGCTCTTTTGCCCTGTTGTTCCTGCGCGTGTGCGGGCGTTTCCAGAGTAGTCTGCCGAGCGTATTTGAATGTCTGTCCCGGGGGCTTCCGGCAGATATGTTCTTGTATTCGTTCCTCTGCTGGGGGGCGTTGCCCTACTCTGGGGGTGCTCCAGGGTATTTTGGGGACCTCCTTCCCGCTGTTCACTCCGATCTTCCTTTCTCTTATCCATCGTTCGTAGTCCTCGCATCTGCACCAACAAACCATCTGCAAAATGCACATTGGATTCTGCTCCCCCATTTAATAACTCTCTTGCTTTTTTTGCTCGTGTGCAAGCTCCCAAAGGGGGGTCTTCTGCTGGTCGTTCGCAGGTACTCATTGCAGGGTTGTCAGTGAGCTGTGGCACTATTTTCATCCCATCCTCTCCCAACTTTGTGGGGTGGGTTAAGTTGTGTATACCTAAGACATTTACGGGGTGCATTTTTTGTCCCCCTTTCTCTATTCCCCTTTCGGTATACACTGTTGATCTGTTGTTACTTTGACAGGTTGTTCTCTCTATTGCCATATTTCCCTGACCTTATGATGGGTGAGTAAATTGCTTTCGTTGGGATTCCTGGCGTTGTTTATCCCATGTTCTCAGCGTATGGTGTACTGGACAGAGTTCTACGTGGCGGTTTACGGAGTTCTCGTCGGAGAGCCAAGCCTCTTTAAGTAGGCGGCCTCCTTTGGTGGCATCCCTAGATAAAGTTTGTACATTAGCAAGATCAAACTTGTGACTAAAATTGGTCATGTGGGTCCACACCTGCGAGTGTTGTTCGCATCTTTTGACAGCTAGCGCGTGCTCATGCACTCTGGTTTTTAGCCTCTTAGAGGTCTCCCCAACATAGTTGCAGGGACAATCCTTGCATTTAATCCTGTATATTACTGACAATTTTTCTTCGTTGGGGAGCGGATCTTTGGGGTGCATGATTCTGGCGCGTAAAGTCTGGTCCGGTTTGTGGGCCACTTTTATATTAAGGGGAGCTAATAATCTAGCTGTTGCCTCTGATACATTGTTGATATATGGAAGGGGGATACGTATGGTTTGTGTTGTTGCCTTATCGGTTTGAAACTCTTCCCGGGGTCTGAGTGGTCTGCTATGACGCTTGATGAATTCCACTGGGTAACCGTTATACTTATAGGTCCGGAAAAGATGGTTTTTCCTCAGCTCTTGCCTTGGCTGTATTACAATGCGAGTCCATGCGTTTAAATAATGTCCTGACGCAACTTGCTTTATGGGCCACTGGGTGATTGCTTTTATAATGGAGGGTTCTGTTGGTGTGCGTTGGTTTCTGGTATACTCTTGTGTGTAAGGTCCCATCCGGCTGGCGGCTAACCAGCACATCCAAAAAGGCCAGGGATCCCTGACTCTCCTCCTCTGCTGTAAAACCAATGTCCGGATATACCGAGTTCAGTGTGTCCATGAAACTAACTCTGTCGCATCTCTTGATGATCGCAAACGTGTCATCAACATAACGGACCCAAAATTTAGATTGATACTTAGCCATTGCTATGGACTCCTGCCGTTGTAGGACCGCCTCCGCTATTATATTCAAGATGGGTGATCCCATTGGCATCCCTTTAATCTGTTCGTACATGGTCCCTTGAAAGGTAAAATACGTTTTCAGGCATAATTCTATCAGTTTACTGCATGGCTTTACCCAGGATTCGAATTTTTAACGTAATTAGAGAAATATATATATATATAATTATATATACTTATTCTCTTGAAGCTGTCTGAAGTCTTGTACATTTGTCTGATGCCCTTTCACTGGTATTTTCCATTTTTGCAATTCGAGAACCAAATTGCATGGCCCGTTTTGGCAAAACAGCAGAGGCCGTCAGACCCAGCTCAGCAGCCACTAGACGCAAGAGCAATTTTTCTCCGATCCCACGAGGCAGAGCCAAGTTTGCTTTTTCCCATACAGGAAGTGAGTTAAGAAATGACACAACCTCTTCATCGAGAAAGGGAAATCTGAAAGAGAAAATTATAGCAAGAAAAGTATAAAATCAAGTTTTAAAAAAACAAATGTAAACAAAGCTTTCTTTAATGAACCGGTTTGGTTAATTGTATATTTCAAAAAAAATGTCCATTTTTAATACGTTCATCTATAAAAACTCATTAGTGCAAAATTGTAGGCAGTTGCTGTCCTGAATTCTATGACAACTGTAATTAACTGTTCCCGTTAATTTCAATGCTTTAGTCCAGATCTACTTTGTATCTATTTACAGCATGCTGAAATATGGTAAATTTATTTATTTTAATTCTATAATCCCCAATCTCAACAAGTGCATTTTTTGTTTTCTTTCAATAAAAAAACCTCCTTAAGGACTCAGATAATAATAATAATAGTAAAGTTGGAAGGGACCTTGAAGGTCATCTAGTCCAACCCCCTGCTCAGGCAGGAAACCCTATACCATTTCGGACAAATGGCTGTCCAGTCTCTTCTTAAAAACTTCCAGTGTTGGAGCATTCACCGCTTCTGGAGGCAGGTTGTTCCACTGGTTAATTGTTCTCACTGTCAGGAAGTT